TCCAACAAAAAGTTAGTTTTTATTGTCATTACTTAATACCTTTATAAATAATATCTCTATTTATGCAAATTGTTTTTATAAAATAATTATCATTTTATTAGAAAGAGCGACTATTGTAGTTGTATTGTTGAAAAATGTTTATTCAAAACATAATTATAATGTCTTTATTAATAATTTTTATGTTTTTGATATCCAGTCTTCAATATAATGATACAACAAACCCGAACACCACAACTACTACCACCACCACCGAGACTACTACTACTACTACTACCACAACTGTACAGCCATTGACACCACATTCAGAAACACAATTATTATCGGACAGTATTGCAAACAGATTGGGAATCGACTTAATGGTTAAACACTACGTCAAAACTAACACTACATTTAATGATTGGTTAGCCCGGATAATGGTATTGACCCGACAAACACTGGTCGATACAGTGTCGACACCAATGGTTTTAGTGGGCGATACCTATATATTTGATTCGTGTCAAACAGATTTGACCAAAACATTGCCAAAATATGCCAAACCTATGGCTTCAATCATATGTTTCTATATGTATGAGCTTTTGATGACTAAATTATGCGATTTTAAGATCGATTTCATCAAAAATCAATGCAATTGTTAAACTTTTTTTTTAGTTAAAATGTAACAAACAATTTTAAAAATTGTATAAAATATTTTTATAATTTATTTATTAAACTAATTATTATTGACTTTATTGAATTCATTTATATTACTTTTTTATAATTTAATTTCTCACATATTTTACATTTTATTGAATATACTATTTGTTTTTTGTTTGTAATTATAATAACAAATAAATTATTTTTACTATTATTAGTAGTAGTATTATAATTATTATTCAAACTTTTATACTATAATTTATTTTTTCAAAAAAAAAATCTATAAATTTTATTAAACATTATTGAATTTCCTGCCATAAAATACAATACAATTATCATTATTATTATTATCAATGTTTTATAATCATATAATTTTAATAATAAATATTAACTAATGGTAATTAAATTAAGTATTTATGCTTTTTATATGTTTTTTTATGATTGCAATCTCATTGTTGAAAATAGTATTATGAATAATAATAATAATAAAAATAAATAGCAATGAACTTAAAGATGATTATTAAACAAAAAATAATATATAAACAAATGTTATTTTTTAATTACTATCAATATATTGATTTTATTTGTTTAATATTTTAGTTTTGTTATATTATACAGTAATTAAATAATGTATAAAAAACTAAACAACAAATATATTTTATTTTATATGTTAACTATTATTATTTACTTTTAAATAATCGCATTTTTTACAAACATTTAATATTATATGTGAAAAAAACAATTTTATTAAATTTATGTTTATTTAATAAATGAAAACAAATTAAATATTTTTTATTTATTTAATTATCAAGATATTTAATTTTATCTATTCATTTATTTATTTATGTTATACACTACTAGTTAGTAATCTATACGCCTACAGTTAAAATGTAATTTTTTATTATAAATTTACATTTTTTTTATTTAATGTTAAAAAAACTAATAAACCATAGATGCGTGTAATAATTTATATAACAAATATAATTATCAAATTATTTTTAAACAAACAAATACTTATAATTTTTATAGCAATTTAGAGAAAATTGCTAATTTAACCTTGCTTAATTATTGTAAATAGCAAATTAATTGTTTAATTTACAACTAAATATTTATTTTAATAGTTATTATCCCAAACAACAGTAATGTTATCTTGATATCTGTATATTTGTGTGTTTTATGTTTGTAATTATAATTATATATTAATTAGTTATTAATTGCATGTGTAAAATAAAATTATTTAAAAATATTTATATATGTAAATTTTAAATATATATATATACTGTATAATTTCAACTATTTAAAAATAAAATTTGACAATCTATTTACTAATTAAGTCTAATTATAATATAAACAGTAAAAATTATTTGTAAATAAAGTCGATATATTACTAGTAATTGTATTTTAAATATATATTAAACTTTTATCGAGATTTATATAAATTTTTCCATTAACAACAATATTACAGGTATATCAATATCAGTTTATTTATAATATATATTGTATAGTAACTGAGCTATAATATTAATATTATATTATAGACTCTATAATATAGAGGATATACTGTACATTTAACATTTATTAATATGTAATAAAAATATTAGTAATAATAATTATTTTTTATTCATATAGTTGTTATTATTGAAATTTAATACTAATTTAGTATTATATATGCTTTTCCTTATTGAGTATCGGATTTCAATATAMATATTAAATATTAYATTATTAAATGGGTTTTTTCATATAATTTATTTTTAGATAATAATTACAATTATTACATTTAAAATATTTGAATATTAATTTAAACGTTTTTTTTAAATAAATAAAAATGTAAATTATAAATATTTAAATAACTATTACATTATTATTTTATTTTTATTTTTATAAACAATTTTGTAAAATATTATGTATAATTAAACAGATATTTAAATTATTATATTTATAAATAAATTATAGCGTTAATAATGATACTAAAAATAGATATTTAATTTTTTACTATCATTATTATATTATTGTAAATTCAATACTATTTGCTATAAATATTTCCAACATTGACCTCCAATTTTATTATACTGTATTTTATATTTAATATATTAAAAACATTTTTTTTAATAACTGCTGTTTTCATTTAAAATAAATTATTATTAATTGTTGCTATAATAATATAATAGTATATTAATAATTTATTTGAAAATGTTTTTTATTGAGGATTTTTATATATAAAAATTGTCTATAAAAAATATAACTACAAATATATCAAATTACAAAAAAGCATTTATATATTATTTAATTTATTTGCAATCAAATATTAATACAAACAATTTATTTATACATTATATATATAAAAAAAAGATTTTATTAAGTATTTATTAATTAAGTGTTTGATTTGGATTAACACTTGATTAGATAATTATGAATAAGTCACACATAAATAACTGTCAATTAAAGTATAATTTATAGATATTTACCGATTTAAACATAAATACATATACATATAAAAAATATTTACTTTTAAATGACAGTGAATTGCGATAAATCTATGTATAATTTAGTATTAATAATAATAATAATACTATTAACTTAATCTTATATTAAAATATAGTATGTAATCAAATATATTGATTTAATTTCAATAATCAATATGATATTGTGCTAAACATACTGTAAATAATATATAATATACAATAAATTGTATATTATTTGAGTAAATATTTATTTGAATAAAGTAGTGAAAAATAATATATAATAAATATTTTACTTTTTGTATATAATTATTTATTTTTAAAAAAATAAAAACCTTAGTAATAAAATGTTTAAATAAATAGATAATTTAAGCAAAACTCTAATAAAGTGACAAATTGATTACACAATAATTATTAATTAATTAAAATAAATTATTGTATAATTTTTTTATTTATCTATATATATATTAACTATTAATTATATATATTTTATATATATTATACATAATGTTTTAATGATTTTTTTCAATACATTGTCAATCATATTTTAGTTTTTATATATATATTTATAAAAATATGTTAACCTTCAAAACTATAAATGTATGTTTATACTAGTAGCAAATGTTTTTTTTAATATTAAAATATTTTTAAAAATCAATTGATTGATATATTTATTGAACCCGTAAGGTGTGCTTTAATTAATTAATATCCAATGTATATATATATATATTGAAAAATATAAATTTATAAAATAAAAATAATAAATCGTCAATTTATTATTGATTTATAAAATGCTATCTATTGAACAAATATTAGAAAAAAATTATTATTAAATAGTTACTGTATAATCAATATACAGTATTTTTTTAATAAAAAAGATATAACTTTTATATTGTATTCAATAACATTAATTTTACAATTGTTAGTGTATACTGTAATTTGTATTTGCATAGAAAAAATAATATATATATATATATATATATTGTATATATTTATTAAATATAAATATATATCTAAATAAATACAAAAATTTTAATATACTGTTCTGTATTTATTTATTTATTCATTCATACAATCATATTATACATTTGTAAAATGATATTGTAATTTACAATTTGTAAATATTAAAATTAAATAAACATTATAAAATTAAATTTATTATTAATAAAAAAAAGTGTTGCTAAATAAATAAAAATAATTGCTTTTTTAAAAAAAAATTTGCTATATAATATATAGTCTATTGTACAATATATATATATATTATCTTATATAAAAATCTATACATTATATCATATAATTATATTTCGTTTTTTTAAACATATAATTATTTTATTAAAATATATTTATATAAACATTATATGTTTGTGCTAATAAAGTTATACTAGTAATGTAATGCAATTTTTTTAGTTTACAAATATATTTATTTTTATTATATAATTTTTAAAATATAAAAGTAATAAGTATTATTACTTAATTACAGTATACTATAAATTATATACTCTATGTCAATATAGAGTCTATGATAATATATTTAATAGTAATAAACATAAATAATGCACACACACAAAATAATTTAACAAAAATTTTCGTTTAAAGATTACTAATAATTTTTCGTAGTAATTGATTTGTTAATAATTAACACAATAATAACAACAACAACAAAAAACTTTAACTATTTAAAATAAGTAAATGTTTTATATATGCATTTTAAAACAAACACAAAAAATAGTCATTAAAAATAACTAGCTTGATTTATTGCTATAATTGTTATATGGGTTGTGTAACTAAATTTAAATGTGTAATTAAAGTTAAAAATAATTTTACAGATTTTAACATTCATACACAACACACACACACACCTCATACATGTATTTATACATAATATTATAGCATTTTAAAAAAACTTACTTATTATGCAATGTTGTTACATACATGTCGTCCCAATGTATAGTACATAAAAGTGCCGGTAGATTATTATTATTATTATTATAACAATGAATTAAATGATAGTAATTTAATTCAATAATGTATATAATTTATATAATGTTTAAATAGTTTGTTTAATGAATTTTTTTATTTGAACTAATTATAACTTTTATATATGTTTTGATTGGAAAATCTTTCAAGTTTAATGATGGAGATGTTATTAATAATTTTCAATTATTAATTTTTGTTCAGCAACAAAATTAAAAATTGTATCTAGTTGAAAAAAGTTCAAACTCATCAATATATATATATATATATATTTGTTTTTAAAACAATTCATAATTAACAGTAATAATAATAATAATGATGTGTACTATAATGATAATAATAATGACACTAAAAAAATAATAGATTAACTTAGCTAGATTAGCTATAGTTTTATTTATTATTTTTTTAATATAGAGTTGTAACAATGTTAAATGTTATTTACGTTGTTTTAATGATATTTAATAATTTAGTTTAACACGCACACATACACACACACGATAACATATATAATTTATATAATAGTAAAACATTATTTAAACTTTAGCATGGACAATTAAATATAAAAATATTTTTACAAATTAATAACAACTAAAAATTATTTTTTTTTTTAAAAACACTTTTCCAACAAATTATACATAGCTTTTGACAGCAATTCTACTGTATATTATTAACACTGATTTTTTTAAATAAAAAATTAATTATTTAATTATAAAGAATTATTATTATACATATATATAAATAAATCACATTAAAAGTTATTTTAAAAGTTAGAAACTTTTTTATTTGATAAAAATAATTACAATTAATATAATTTTTTGTTTGTTTTGAAAAGAAAACAAAACTATTATTATTTTATTTATGCAAAACTCAGTCAAAAGTTATTATTTTTTTTATATAGAATATTATAAATAATTAAATAATTTTTTATTTAGGTTTTTGATTGTGTTTTAATACAAATTATTGACGACCGATAGGGACATACATCCGATCTCCAGAAGCAACTTTGACGGACTGACTCAATGATTGCATACATACACACAAACACATAGACATACATACTGTACACATACATACATACTCTCCAATGATAGTGAATGTGCTGCTATTAAATGGTTATATAAGTTACATACACTACTGACTCCCTCTTCAATCTACATAACGACACACTTAGACTACAGAGACAGTAGTGCTTAGGGATGTTATTGTACAGTGATTTTCAGGTACAGTATAGGGTTATTGTAAGTGTGTTTGACGGACACCACAACAACACCGTCTGTCGGATAGAGATTTCACCGTAAGATAAGCTGACAAACAGTCTGTATTAGTGTGTGTGTAATGCACTGATAGTTTTGATATTAATAAACACTATTACTTTATAATAATTTATTACTAAACCCCAAAATATATTTAACATTTTTGAAAAAATTAGATATAATTAATAATTAAATCAATTTTTTTTCTTTAATATTGTTAATAGAATATTTTATTTTTTAATTCTATATATAATTTAGCACAATTTGTGCATCTACTAATTATAATTAAATTAATCATTGTACCTAAATAATTAAGAAAAAAAATAAATATTTAATTAATTTAAAAATTAAATTATAATTAATAAATTGTATTATGATGATAAATTTTTTTATAAATAATTCAAATAGATTTATACGATGTTGTATTATTGTAATTTTTATTTGTATCAAGTACAATTATTATCAAAAAAAGTTTTAATTTATATGTTAACTCCACTATTTCATTGCAATGTTACAGTCTATGTGAATGGTCCCATAAAAGCCGTGTGTATGACGTCACCAATAGTTTGGGTGTTTATAGAGATTTTTACTGTATATTATAGTTAGGGTTAGATTAGATTCCATCCCTCGTCTTATTTACCATAAGTTCCTTATATTCCCTGTGAATACATTCCCTTGTGATAGCATTAGAGTTAGGATTTATTATTATTATTATTAAAAGTAATTTAATTGTTTACATATATAAATTGTAAAATGTATTTTGAGTCGTCATTTTTTTATGTATAAATTATTTAATTAATTTAATTATCAGTATTACTATACCGGTAATTATTTTTGAATTATATATATTATTTTTTTWAAAAACTTTATATTTTTAAAATTAAATTAGCATTAATTTAGATATTAATTTATAAATTTCAKCGCATTTTATAATTTTGTTTAGTTTTTTAATTACGGTATTATAATTTTGTCACACAATTGTATTAATCAATTAATTAAATGACACATCATTTTGAACGATGGGTTCAATAAATGGAAAAAAATTAATTAAAAAATACTATTTCTATTGAATATTATAATATTTTATCAATAAATTAATTTATTTAATAAATAATTTTTTATAAACCTTAATTCCATATAAATCAAATTAATGTTGAATAAAATCAATTATACAAAAAAATTGTTAATGAAATTATTTTTAAATATTTATACTCTATATAAATATAGTAATAATCCTTATCGAAATCACATTTGAAATTATAACATTTAATTAATTAATAAAAATATATAGATATTAGTTTTTTTAAAAAGTATTAAAAGTGATAAAAATGTTAATTTAAGTTTATTTTTTATTTAAACTTCAGTATTTTATTATTATAAATTTAAAACAATTTTATAAATATTTTTAATTAATTCATTGAATAAACAATTATAAAAATAAATTCAATCATTGATTATTAATTCATAATCCGATTTATTTATTTCCGTATATTATGAAAAGTGTATTGATATTATACTTTAGAAAATAATACGAAATTTTTATATATAAATAATAAAAATATTTAATTATTTATACTTTAATATATTATTGTAAAAAAAAATTTATTTTAACCAATTTGTATGCTTTTATCATAACAAAAGTTTTTAAACAAATTACTGTAGTTTTATAATTAATCAAAATAATGAATATCATACTGTATTTAATAYATRTATTAATAAATATATTTASTTTTAAGTTTATTARCAWGGTATCAATATTAACTTATAATATTAGTATTTAATATCATAATTAATAATTATTAGTGTTTTTGTCAAATTATAATAACATTATTAGTTAAAATATAWAATTTATTTAGTAAATAATTAATTTTAAAACTTATTAATACACATAATATAAATTCAAATATTTARTTRTAATTATTTTATTTTATAATAACTTTATATAAATATCTAAATTAAAAAATATATAATATAGTAGTAGTAAATTAATAATAGAAATTAATTTTTATTAATTAACAAATATGTTATTTTATTTATAGTATTAAATAATATTTGTCTAAACCTATTGTCATTTTTATATATATCAATAGAATTTTTTTTTAACTTTAATATAAATATTTAATTGAATTTGTTTTAATAAACATTGATTAATAAAAATATAAATGCAAAAAATAATAATAATATTCATATGAATCATATATTAATATATATTGTATATAACATAATTATAATAAATAAAATAACTATTTAAGTAAATAAGTAAATATATAGAAATAAATTCAATAAATTACTTGTACTTTATAATCCGGTTCATGTATTTATATATCTCAATATTAATACTGTATACAAATATACTGAGTAGTATATAAACCATTATAAAGATATAAATTTGGAAAAATGGGAAATATTTAGTAATTAAAAAAATATATGTCTATTAAAAAAAAATTCTAATAAATGTTTAATTAATTAAAATTATTATAAAATTATCAAAAGTTATTATGCAAAAGATGAATAAATTAATAATTATAATAATTATTATAAATGTTATATTCAACTGTTTGTGTATTAAAATGTCGTCAATTTTAAGCAATAATCTCAATACAAGTTAGTAATAATTCAAAATATTTTTTGTTAAAAGATATATTTTAATCATTTTTTGTTTTTCCTTGTATTTTAATATTATTTAGAAATCAATGAAATCAATACAAATAATGATAACGACATTAAACTTATGAATAAAATTGACAAAAATGTTAAAAATATTCATACTTTGAATCACAGGTTTATTGACAACAAGTTATTATTTAAATTAGTATTTTAATAAATAAATTATTATTTTTATTTTTTATTAATTTTAATCAGTAATATGTCCTCAAATGTGGTGACAAATGAAGACACAAGTAATAAAGTGATCACCACTTTGGTCACTAATGAGAGGAATAAAACAAATAATGGTATGATTTGTAATGATTTTTAAAAACTTAAATATTTTTTTTAAAAATAATTAAATTATTATATTTTAAAAATAAATTTTATATTATAGTTAACCAAATTAATAAAGACATCAATGATTTTCATATTAAAAGCAATCAATTATTAATAGATATTAAGAACAATAGTAAGTATTTTTTTAAAATTACAATTTACTTAAACTTTCAAAATATTTGTTTATATATATATAATAATAATTTTCTAAAATAACTGAAACTTGTTTTTACATAATAACGAGCTATAGTAACAATAATTTTTAAGCTAATTAAACCAAATTTTTTTTATAATTATAATTAAGATATTTTCGGCTAATTATAATATTAATTAAGGTATCAGCACATCCCTGTCCCKACATACCTGTGCTGAATTATATGAAAACTTGTGTATATCAATTTGTTAGTTGCTTAAAAAAATATTTGGCTGAGCTAGCTCATTTAATTTAAATTAGTTATTTACTTACTAAAATAAAGACTCACAAAACTATTTTTCAAATGATTATTAATATAATTGTTTTTTTATTGTTTAAAATTTCTAGCAAACAATAGTACATTGATTGAAATTGTCGACAATTTTTTATCAAATTTTCTATCAAATAGTTTAWWKGATTTTGGATGCAAACAACTATTTGAATGGTTAGGACTAATAAAAACTGGTAACAAAATTTGTCAAACAATGATTTGTACACCATTTTTATCATATACTGTTTGGACAAATTGGTGGGACCGGTCTCAATGCGGCAATTGTTTGATTAATTTAGACAAATGTATTAATCATGTTAATAGTTTCAAAAATAAGTTTTAAAAAGTTTTAATTATTATTTATTATTACTTGTATTGTAAGCAATATATTTTTTATATATATACTTTATTGAAAATATTTATTACATCATTAGATTTTATGTTATTCATTATTTAGCTTTATTTATAAAAACTTATTATTTAAAATTTTTTTATTAATTACAATATTTTTTTAAATTACTATATTGTTTGTTGTAAACTCTATTTTTATCATAATTTACATTAACAATAATAGGCATCATTTATATGTTATTTAAAGTCATTAAACATTTATATTTAAGTTTTTTACTTTTATAATAAAATTACATTTATTAAAAAAAATTATTAAACTGTTTTATTTATTAATTTAATTTATTAATTAATAAAAGTAAAATTTCTATTAAAATAAATTGTTATTATTGTTATTAACAGTATATATTAAATCATTATATTACTAATGTTTTATATAATATGTTTATATTTGTATTAATAATATAATAATAATAATAATAAGTTATTAAGTGTTTATATATATTAGTAAAAATGTTTTTATATACAGTACTACACATAATTAATAATATAATAAAATAATTATTCAAATATATAATTTTAAACAATAATATTTATTTATTTTTCAATTATACAAATATAAAATTACTATATAAATACTTATAGTTCATAAGTAAAGTACATTTTTATATAAAAAAATTTATTTATTATATTATAGTTGAAAATTTTATATAATTATTTTATTAATTTAAATATAACTTCAAATATTAATATAACTTAATAACAAAATAAATACTAATTACTGGTAATACTGGTATAAATCATTTATTATATTATTTTCAATAAATATAAATATACTTTTTTTAAAACTTAACAAACAATAGTTATTTACGATTATTACTATTATTACTATTATTGGTACTATTGTTGTCGTTGCTGTTGATGGCATCCAACTCTTCATCTTTGGTCAATTGTCTGATCCGTTGGAGAGCACTGTGAGCCTTGAAATGGACAACAATTTCAAGCAAATAACCGCTGAAATCGTTTTTGGCTTTTTTCAGCCACCGTTTAGCTTCTGATTTGTTGTCCAAATCTAATTTAGTTAATCCCAACTCTAGTGATGCCATCGGAAGTATGAATTTATCTTTTTTGATATGTTTTTCACTAATTTTATTACAATAATAATTTGTAAATATTTTAAACAAATACCAAACAAATAAAAATAATAATTTTTGATAATTACTTTCTGAATATTTCTGCGAAACATTTTTCCGCTTCTTTGTGTTGTTTTTTGCATTTCAAACAAATGCCTTTCAATAGCAATAATAATAAATAGTTTTCGATGGCATTCATTGAATCTCCTAATAGTTTTTGTTTTATAAATAAATTTTTAGTTTTAATTATTGAAATAAACTATTTATATAACAAACTGACTGTCATTAATATATTTAGGTATCAAACGATTAATTCGTTCAACCATTTTGTCGACTATTGTCGGGTTTTGGTCGAGAATTGTAAATACATTCCAGATATACATTAATTCCTAAATTATATATATWTTTTTAAAAAATAGTTTTTAATTATGATATATATATATATATATATAWATATATATTATTTAAAAATGCTTACAAATGCTGGCAATATTAGTGACTCTTTTTGATCAAAATACTTGACAGCATTAACGCAAACAAACTTCTCGGGCGGTATTGTTTTACCGGCTATTCGGACCTTTAGTTTGGGTACTTCCCTATCAGATATAAATAAATATATATATATATATTTAAATTTTTATTATTATTAAAATATATTCAAATTAAATATTATTATAAATATTATATAAGTTTATTCAATCATTACCTGAACAGTTCCGATACCTGACTGTGCAATTCAGGTTTGTTTTCATCTAACATTTTCATATATAGAAACGTTGCCTTTTGATAGGTAAAGGTAGCCGCAGACCAATTGCATTGTTCTTTGAGTATCTGAGCGTAGTTAGCAGCCTGATCCCATTGAAATTTCACACTATACCAATTTTATGTTATATAGATAATAATTTAATAGCTATCGGTGYTCAATATATCAATATATACTGTATATATACTAACGCGTGACACCAAAGCAGTTCCCAAAAGCAAATGTTGTGCATCTGTTTGATATCGTCTTGAGCTTCAATACAACTATTATAGTGGTCGACAGCGCCGTCGATATCGCCTCTCAACTGTAGTATACGAGCTCTAAACCATAGAAACCATGAGCTCTATTAGGTGGGTGCCCACAGAAAAAAAATTGATGACATAAACACATTAAAAACCAATTTACTAAAATATGTTGTTGAATGATGTGTGTGTTTGTGTATTTTTTTTTTTGAATACCGTATCACAATTGGCCAAACCTTTGTCGACAAACTGCTCGACCACTTCCAGATTGGATTTGCTGACACCAAACATCTGGTTTATGTAGCACTCGTAGCCGGCAATAACCAACTGAGCCGGAAAATAGCGCAAACCGGCTGAATCTGTGGCGCACCGGTTCAACAAATCGAGACCCACTCGTCGATCGCCGGAAAAGCCGATAATTTCCAACAATTTTAGTACACGTTTGGGCAGATGAGAGAAAACCAGATTAATGGCACCGTTGCCTAACATAACGCCCGACCGGAAGTGCACTTTCGATCTCTCGCTTTTCCATTCAGTCCTGTTCTCGGATATGTCTAAGCAAAACCTTAATCAAAAAAAAAAATTAATAAATAAATAAATAATAATAACTAAGATATCAAATAAATAGATGTGTGGGAAAATGGGGGGTAACAACACCTACTTATATGATGAATGACAGGCCCGCAAACGGAAGGCACCTTTGATTAATGACATAATATTTTGATCACTAAAAAACGTTAGCATCGATATTAATAGTAGATTTTCGGCGTGTATGAGCTCAGCATGTATTTCCTCTAATTATTTATTATTTTTTTTTTTTTGGTAATAGAAATCAATTTGTAAAACATAATGAAAAGTTTAGTTTTAATCATTTTTTTAATCAGGATTTAATTTAATAATTATTAGGACAGTTACCTTCTGAATAGGCATTATAATTGTGTTTCCATAAGTACTTCGACACACTGTTGGCCAACGACACCGATCGGCGATACTTTTGGCACATATTGTTGGTCTCATTGTTCGCGTCCAATGCCTGAGCTATCTCTGGCTATATGATAGTCATATCAATAACAAAAAAATAGCAGTTAGGGTGGGTATACTACTGGATATCAATTGAAGGTACGGGCATTTTTTATGTAACTACCGTTTCTAGTGTTAGCACTGCCTTCATAAACATGAGAAGCGACTTTCCGTGCGAATGATAGAGACTTGTTTGACACCATTTGTCGCATATGTCGATGGCTTTGTTGAATTGATTTTTAATACATAACTCAATCAGGTATCGACACTCTTCCATACTGTCCTCAAACGACATTCCCTTTTCCGGTGATCCCATGTTTGTCGGTTCCCTAATTGATAAAAAAAATAAATACACTTAATTTTTATAACACTAAAACTACAAATAATATAATATTAGTTAATTAATTAAATTTTTTTTCTGTATAAACACATTTTTATTGTATGATTTAATGTTATTTTTTAAATTTAACATTTAATCAAAAATTATTATTACATTACGTGCTGTTTTAAAAAAATAATTTTGTTGACAGGTTTTAGTTGTTTTTGTCGTAAATTAAATAACAAAAATGTAATCCAAAATTCAAATTAATTAGTAAATAAATTCACATTTTATTATAAAATTAGTTAATTATCACTTTTTTAAAAAAATTATATGAATCACTGCTATAATAAAAATACAATGACGTATAATTTAATTAATTAATTTAAGTAATAGTAAATGTTTTTTTTTAAAATTAATAATGAAGGAAATAAATATTTATGAAAATAATTAAAATATTTATTTTTTAAATAATTGTGAAGAAAAATTTCATTAAAAAATTATTTACAATTTAATAAATAATAATTAAAAATACAGTATTTTTACCTAATAAAAGTGTAATTTTTATTTAGATAAAAATTTTTTTTATTAATACTGTAGATAATAACTAAAATAATATAAAAATAAAATATTATTTTATCTCATTGCGGTTAAAATAATTGAAATAATTTTATTTATTATTATTTTTTACTTGTTATTGAAAATAAATACTTGTTTTAAAAAAAATATTATTACATAATTTATATTAGCTATATTATAAAAGGTTAGTATAATTAATAAGTATTATCACTATTTTAAAAATTATTATTGTATTAAATTAACAATAATAATAATATTTTTTCTAAGATAGTAGTCATATATTCAATATATATATATATATATAATATCATATATTGTCAATACTTACTGATCAGTTTGAGTGTTATTTATCACAAAATTATTAATATTTTTATCACTACTCATTGTAGTTGATATCTTAAGTTATATTACTTTATTTAAAGAAATTCATGTATAATTATATAAAAATATTATATGAAAATTACAAATAGTTAAAATATAACCAAAATTTAATATATCAGATATTTTTGTTGTTGTTGAATATTAAAACAAAAATAACATTTTATTTAAAATAACATTAGATTTAGTAGATTACTAGACATTACATAGTTATTCAGTGTATATTAGAGTAATACTAATAACAATACATTATTAATAAATATTATTAATGCAAAATCATATGGTTTTTTATTATATGTACATTTTATTATACTTTATATTATATTATAAAAAATGCGATTACATGGCATTTATTGTAGATTGTGTTTACAAATAGATAAAAACACATTTACAACAATTAGGTAAAGGTTTAGTTAATATTTTTCTACTAAACGATATAATCAATAAAATATTGATTTCCCTTACGATTTGCGCCATAACTACTAAAAACTACCAAAACTATTATTATTATTACTACTATTATAACATATGATTATATTTAAGCAAAAAATATACAATTGATATCAGTATAATATACTGTATAATAATGGATTATTACTTAAAATAAAATTTATTTAGTAAATAAGTGATTTTAAAACTAATTAATAAACAAAATCATTTATAACCTCCAAATATTTAGTTTTAATTATTAATTTATCTAAACATTTTATTGTAACAAATGTATTCAATTTTATTTATCTTAATTAAATTAATATTAGATTAATATATATATAAGTATCAATAAATTCTTTAATCTTATTTATTTAAAATTTTTTATTTAAAAAATATAATTTCTACCAAATAAAATCTGATATTTTTTGTTTAATTAACTTATTATTGTATTAATAAAATTTTCAAACTGATAACATATTAAATATTACTACAATTTACTGTATTTCATATATTGTAAATATAACTCAATAAATAATAGGATTACTAAAAGGATATTGAAAAACATTTAAACCATTTAATTGTATTTTTGCATTAATTGCCAAAAATATTATTGACAATAAATAGAAATTCAAAATTTATTTAATACACATATTTTATATCAAAGATAATTTATATAAAGAGCAAAAACTTTACAYATATATATATATATATATATATATATATATATAACATATAATTTAAAAGTGTTTAAACAATAACTAAAAATTATTATTAGTATTATTATTATTGAATATTAAGTATACAGTTAACTGATAAAAATGTTTGACATATATATTTTATTTAAATATTTCTCAATAATAATTATAATAATTTCATTTATCAATTATCCCAAAGTTTTATCTAAACACATGTCTAACAAAGGTTTGAAATATATATTTATATTGTAATAAAATATAACTCAAATATGAATAAAATATTTTAATTATTATTTCTATTTACTTAATCAGCTATATTAACCAATGACATCAAAATTGATGAAAGTTTAAGAAAATTGTCATCTAATCTATTGATTGATAATCAAAATAATAACAATTTTGGTGTAATTTCCAACAAAAAGTTAGTTTTTTTGTCATTACTTAATAACTTTATAAATAAAATCTCTATATAAGCTAATTGTTTTAATAAATTAGTTATAATTTTATTAAATAGACCGACTATTGTAATTATATCTAATAAAAATGACTATTCAATACATAACTACGTTTTTATTAATAATTTTTATGTTTTTTAATGTCCAGTCATGAATATAATAATAATATGAAATTGTCAACTACTAGTACAACAAACCCGAGCACTGCCAGGACTACCAGATTTGAATTAGAAAATAAAAATGACAATCAGTTGCGTGAAATACAGGGACCGACAGACCATGAGATAGATATCGTTGTCAACGAACTAAATACAAATAAATGTAAGTAGAAATTGATATTTCTATAAAAATAATTAATATAAAACTGGTATGTGAGCTCAGATATGTGTAATTTCAGCAATTATATTATATAAATAATTCATTGGATAAATAATGTTTGTATGTAGAGGGGAATGGTATGTAAATAATACAGGTATTACCCGAATAATATCGTAGGCATAGTGTTCAGCGTAATTCCAATTGCCATTCATAGCACCCGTCAAACTGCACGCCTCTGTATTGATAACCGGAAAATCTGGATACTTATAGTGGACATAATCGAGAACTCGGTCGGGAAATGGACCCATAATTTCGTTGTAATACCAGTGCAGCGCTACGCCCGACACGTATTTTGTGACCTCTGTATCCGTCAATATTGTGTCCACATATTCGCGTATATGAGGCGACGTGTCGTCAAATATCAACAATTTTAGTCGTTCCCTATCGAAACCGGCCGACCATAGAGTGGGACCCAAATTGTATTTAATGAAATCCCGTTCCTCTAGTGCCGTCATTTTGAGTCCATTGTTTCCGTGATCCTGAACCGGTTCGTTTTGGACGGTTAGTCCCCAAAACAAAATACCGTACTGTCTATACATTTCTAAGAATCTGGACAATTAATTATCATATTAGCATTGCTAAATTGTAGTGAAACAGTTTTCTAATTGTAACGATAATATTATCTAGACAAATTAATTTACTACCTGTATATATATATTTTTTTATTAATCTAAAGCTTTAATTATATCATCGATGTGTCGATCACTATGGGGATGGTTTACGTGGGACTGTTGGTACAACAAAACAAATCTATATCATATAATACCACCGGCTATAGTAGGGGTTGCGGCCATACAGACAGTATGTGAACCGGCTTTAAAGCAAGTGTTCAGTGGCCGCACAGCCCTGATATCGTGTCAAATGATGCACAACTTTGCCGATTATCAAATCTATATGACCTGTGATGACCGGCTCCGACACTGGCAAAAGTTGGCCGAAAAATATCATTCAAAGAACATTGCATTAAAGCGCCGTTTGATTAGTAAAGGTATAAAAATTATGGACAACGAAGAATCAGATGAATTTGAAGAATCAATTGCTAAGCATTTTATTATTTAATTATTTTTACATTTATTGTGATCTTATTTTAATTATCTGAGCATTTTATTTATCAATTATTTTATATATCATATATCATATATATACTTATACAATGTCATGAATTATTTATTTATTTATTATTATCTACAAAACAAACTAGTTTTTACAAACTTAGAAAAATTTATTATTCAATTATAAAAATACAATATTTCTTATATATATATATATATATATTAATAAAAAGTTAGTTTTTACATTATATTACTTTTATGTATATTTCATTAGTTGTTAATTAATTATATCCACCAAATGTATGACTGTATTGTATGTTCACTAATCAATCGTTCAAATATAAGTCCCGTTTTATAATCATTAATATGCAATACTATCGGTTCATCGCCGCTGTTCAGTACCACCACTACCAGTGCATCGTCGGGTCGGCGAACAGTTAATACCGACAAATCATTGGTCGACAGTTTGGCGTCCATTTGATCGACAATAAGTCGATGCCAAACACGTACCGATTCGGGTGTTACCAGTTTACTGAACTGTCCCAATGCATAGTAAGTGGGCTGTTTGTAGGCCTCGCCGGCTATAGTGTCCACCAATATCGGTCCACCGCAACCGTGTTTGGTCATCCATGTCGGTCCACCGTTCATATCTAAAACCATATTCCATTCCAACCAACCCATTACCCAATGATTTAGATCCTAATCTCAAACCATAAAATTAATGTAAAATTCAGGGATTTATTTGGTATATATTATATTAATATAATAGATAGTTAGTATTAGTATAATAAGATACAAAAAATGTTTGTGTATAGAGGGGAATGGTATGTAAAATAATACAGGTATTACCCGAATAATATCGTAGGCATAGTGTTCAGCGTAATTCCAATTGCCATTCATAGCACCGGTCAAACTGCACGCCTCGGTATTGATAACCGGAAAATCTGGATACTTGTAGTGGACATAATCGAGAACTCGGTCGGGAAATGGACCCATAATTTCGTTGTAATACCAGTGCAGCGCTACGCCCGACACGTATTTTGTGACCTCTGTGTCCGTCAATATTGTGTCCACATATTCGCGTATATGAGGCGACGTGTCGTCAAATATCAACAATTTTAGTCGTTCCCTATCGAAACCGGCCGACCATAGAGTGGGACCCAAATTGTATTTAATGAAATTTCCTCTAAATGCCGTATTTTATAATTGCTATTATTATTATTATATCATTAATTTTTTTATTTACGCATATTTTTTTTAAAAAATCATTTAATTATTTATTTATTTTTATCTACAAAACAAACTAGTTTTTACAAACTTAGAAAAATTTATTATTCAATTATAAATATATATATATATTAATAAAAAGTTAGTTTTTACATTATATTACTTTTATGTATATTTCATTAGTTGTTAATTATATCCACCAAATGTATGACTGTATTGTATGTCCACTAATCAATCGTTCAAATATTAGTCCCGTTTTATAATCATTAATATGCAATACTATCGGTTCATCGCCGCTATTCAGTGCCACCACTACCAGTGCATCGTCGGGTCGGCGCACAGTTAATACCGATAAATCATTGGTCGACAGTTTGGCGTCCATTTGATCAACAATAAGTCGATGCCAAACACGTACTGATTCGGGTGTTACCAGTTTACTGAACTGTCCCAATGCATAGTAAGTGGGCTGTTTGTAGGCCTCGCCGGCTATAGTGTCCACCAATATCGGTCCACCGCAACCGTGTTTGGTCATCCATGTCGGTCCACCGTTCATATCTAAAACCATATTCCATTCCAACCAACCCATTACCCAATGATTTAAATCCTAATCTCAAACCATAAAATTGATGTAAAAGTCAGGGATATATTGGGTATATATTATTATATTAATATAATAGATAGTTAGTTGGATACACAAAAAATGTTTGTCTATGTAAAATAATACAGGTATTACCCGAATAATATCGTAGGCATAGTGTTCAGCGTAATTCCAATTGCCATTCATAGCACCCGTCAAACTGCACGCCTCKGTATTGATAACCGGAAAATCTGGATACTTGTAGTGGACATAATCGAGAACTCGGTCGGGAAATGGACCCATAATTTCGTTGTAATACCAGTGCAGCGCTACGCCCGACACGTATTTTGTGACCTCTGTGTCCGTCAATATTGTGTCCACATATTCGCGTATATGAGGCGACGTGTCGTCAAATATCAACAATTTTAGTCGTTCCCTATCGAAACCGGCCGACCATAGAGTGGGACCCAAATTGTATTTAATGAAATCCCGTTCCTCTAGTGCCGTCATTTTGAGTCCATTGTTACCGTGATCCTGAACCGGTTCATTTTGGACGGTTAGTCCCCAAAACAAAATACCGTACTGTCTATACATTTCTAAAAATCTGGACAATTAATTATCATATTAGCATTGCTAAATTATATTGCAAATGTATATATATAGTTTAGAGAGAGGGTAGCTTTTTTATTTGCTACTAATACTACTGTTACTACAAACTTGACTAAATAATTGGCCAATAATTGATAGTATTGACCGCCCGGTTCGCCCTTTAAGTTGGCAAATATTTTGATCCGTTCGACTGTCTTAGTCCAAGCGGGCGGACTCCACGAGGAGGCTATCAATTTGAGTCCATGCGGTGCTAGAGTTTGTGCTTTTTGTATGTATGGTATCTACGGTATTAAAAATTTTTTTTAAAAATATATCCAAAAATAAAATCATTATTATTTTTTCCGCAAATATTTAATTATATTGTATTAAATATTATATTATTTTTTTTTAAATCAAAGAGTAGTTTCTTTTATAATTATCCACTAAATTGTTTTTTTAAATAAATTTTTATTTGAGACTTAGATTTTTATAAATGCCATTCATATTAATTAATCATAATTTTTTTTAGGTTCATTGAGAATAGAGAAAAGTTCATTAATTATTTATTTTCTAATGTTTATAAATATTTGTAATATAATATATTTACTGATAAGCCTATAGTAAACTATAATTAAGATAAATCATATGATCTAATTTATTTTGTTTTTTATATAAAATTTTAAAAATATGATAAATTTAATTTATAATAGAAATAATAATTTTGTTAAAAAATAATATATATTTATTAAAGTTTTTAAAATAAAACAAACTAACCTTCCATTGAAAATCTTCACTTTGTAGAGCAAAATGAGTGAGATTTATGTCATCCTCGAAATCATTGTAAGTATAGGGACGGACCGAATAGTCGGTACCTGCTATGGGAACCCTACCGAAGCTGTACTCAATACCAGTGACCGAAAAGTAACTTTCAAGTATAGCTTGAGACAGGGAGTCGGGCAACGACTTCAATAACATTCCCGTAGTGTCGGTAAAAGCACCGCCAAAACCATGAATCGGCTGAAAATCGACGCTACGGTCGATGAGAATAGTTGTCCGCCGTTTAGTAGCACTGGTATATCCTTCATCCGGTACTCCTCCTACTCCATGACTAACATTTAGCACCGTATGTTTGAATCGAGCGCCCGATTTGGTCGACTCATAAAGCAAGACAACTCCCGGTTCCGATGGTCTCGTAATCGGTGGAAAGTCATCGCAATAGGTTTGATTGCAGACACAAACTGAGTCCGAGTTGGCAATCACTTTGAGGACACATTCCCGATGGCTATCGACAACTAACAACAAAATAAGTGAAATAAATGAGTCAAATATATTGTTTTATAAATTTAGTAACAGTTCACCTGTTAATAGTATTGAACAAAATAATAATATTATTATTATAAAAGATAACTGTGCTATTGATTTAGTAGTTAATATAATATATAATTTTAAATTCATATTTTTTTAAAAAAACTTAAATTTTTTAACTATTTTATTTTACAATTAAAAATAATATATATTTATATATATAATTTTAATTTAATATATATTTTTATATATAACAAGTTCAATATAATATACACACAAATAATAATAATACTAATAATTTATTATTTACACAAACAAATAGATAACACTAACTTTTTTTATATTAAATTGTTGCCTAAAAACACAGTACACTACATAACATATGAAAAATATATATATATTTTCTTAATTTTTTATTAATAACTAGGTCAATAAAAACATATTTATAAATATTAAGATATATCAAAATGTTAGAGATGTTAAAAGTTTGTTAATTAAAAATATTAGTAAATAGTATATGAAATATAATGTGTGAATAATATTTTTGATTTTACTTAAAATGTTATTTACTTTTGCATGATTTTGATATTTTATTTAATTAAAGAGAAAAAAACTAAAACTAATTTGATAAACAATATTTCACATTAGTTTCATAACGTTTCTGCAGTATATTTATTTATATTTAAAATATATTTATATATAAATATATATATCATGTATTATGTTTTATATTGATAGTATAAAATTAATTAACTAAATATTTACATTAAATTTACTTTCATATTATATTCAAATTGATAAATACTACAATTAAATCTATTTAAAAATTAAATAGTATACTTTAATTAATCGTATACTATAATATTATCACTTAATAAAAACATGTATTTAATTATTTATATTATATTTATAGTTAATAACAAAATTATCATTGATAATAAAATAATAACAATAAATATAAAATTTTATTAAATACTTAAAATATATTATAAATTACTATAAAAAATTAATTAATTTTTTATCTAAGTTTAAATTAAGTAGAAAACTATAAATATATGAAATGATAAAAAATTAAACTTATTTATATAAACTTTAATTATTTTTATTAACATTTATTTAATTATATTTTGTTGCTATGTTAACTTTTGTTAAATTTAAAAATAGTTTGTTAAAATATAAAATTTATTTAGTAAATAATTAATTTTAAAACTTATCAATACACATAATACAAATTCAAATATTTAGTTATTATTATTTTATAATAACTTTATATAAATATCTAAAATTAAAAAATATATAATATAATAGTAGTTTTAGTAAATTAATAATAGAAATTAATTTTTATTAATTAACAAATATGTTATTTTATTTATAGTATTAAATAATATTTGTCTAAACCTATTGTCATTTTTATATATAACAATAGAATTTTTTTTAACTAATATAAATATTTAATTGAATTTGTTTTAATAAACATTGTTTAATAAAAATATAAATGCAAAAAATAATAATAATTATATGAATCATATATTAATATAATATTGTATATAACATAATTATAATAAATAAAATAACTATTTAAGTAAATAAGTAAATATATAGAAATAAATTCAATAAATTACTTAAACTTTATAATCCGGTTCATGTATTTATATATCCCAATATTAATACTTTATACAAATATACTGAATAGTATATAAACCATTATAAAGATATAAATGATTTTTAATGAAAAATATTTAGTAATTTATTAAATATGTTTTAAAAATAATATTCTAAAATATATTTTTATTAATTAAAATTATTAAAAGATATTATAAGATGAATAAATTAATTATAATAATTATTATAAATGTTATATTCAACTGTAAGTGTATTAAAATGTCATCAATTTTAAGTAATAATTTCTACACAAGTTAGTAATAATTTAAAATATTTTTTGTTAAAACATATATTTTAATCATTTTTGTTTTTCCTTATATTTTAAAATTATTTAGAAATCAATGAAATCAATACAAATAATGATAACAACATTAAACTTATGAATGAAATTGACAAAAATATTAAAAATATTCAAACATTGAATCACAATGTTATTGAAAAGTAATTATTATTTAAATTTGTATTTTAATAAATAAATTATTTTATTAAAATAATATTCATTTAGTGTCTTCATCTTTAGTAATAAAAATTATAATTTTTTAAATATAATAACTTATTTTTTATATTTTAAAAATATGTTTATTTCATTAATTTTCTTTGTTTTGTTTTTTATTAATATCAGCGATATTTCATCTAAAGTGGTGACTAATGAAGACACAACCAATGAAATGGTCACTACTTTGTCAACTAATAACAGCCATAAACCAAATGATGGTATGATTTGTATTGAGTTTTTTAGTTAATTGATTAAATCAAATGACAATCAAATTAAATTTTTAAAAACAATATTTGTTTAGTAGTAATGTCTAAATATTTTTAATATTCATATGATTTTTTAAATTATTATTATTTGTTTAGTTATGACTGTAGTGGACGTTAACACAAAAGATATCAAAATAATTATTGAAAAATTGGCCAAAAATTATAGTAAGAATCACACAAATTAAAATTTTTTTTAAAATAAAAAAAATCTTAAATTCATTTTAATATTTTGACAAATATATCAACAATTAATTTTTATTAGAAGATATACAGTGTTCAGGTGTTACCTCATATTTGATGCCCTCGTGTTATGATTGGTTTTCAAGCTTTAAAGCGCCGTCAGCTTTAAATACCGGTCTCGAATTGTCTGCATTTGTTTTGTGTGAAAATGGCTTATTATATATTGTCGGCCAAACCTATGACAATAGTCAATATGTTTGCCATACATTGGAAACAGTATACAATCACTATAGACAAGACAAATGTAATGACTGGCACCGGCAGTCCATTCAATTACGGGCCAAATATATGGCTTTAAAGCAACGGCTCATTAGATATAATATTAGAGTCAATGATATGGCTGTTGATGATAGCGTTGACATTACAGATACAAAACAATTGTATAAAGAATTATAAAATGGTTTCAATTATTTTGTAATTACAAACATTTAACTTAGATTTTAATTAATTCCTTAAATATTTATTTTTATTTTAAAAAAGCAGAGCAAACAATTTAAATTTACATATTATAGAAATTTTTATTTTCATTAATTTTATATTTCATTATTTATTTATACATAATCTGTAATGAATTAGTATTCACTCAATATATTTATTTTTAAATTCAATTTTTAAAAAATATTGTTTTAAAATAAATGAAAAAAAATGTTACAAATATTATTTGTTATAATTGAAAAAAATTAGTTTCTCTTTTGAAAAATTATTATTTGTTTTTTATAATTAATATTTTGATTAATTGTTGATATTTATTGATTTGCCGTTTTATCCACTAAACAATTGGTCACTCTATAGGGAGTTCGGGCGCCGTATTTACTATAGAACGTAACGCGCGATATATTACGTGAACCGGTCCTCTCATCAAATGTCTGGCACTTGGAATAGGGAGGTATATACAGATGCATCGATACGGCCGGTCCAGTGTGCGAACGATTCTCTACCCGATGCAAACCAATTGAATCTATTATTATTATATTTTTAAAATAAAACAAATTGAGAAAAAAAACATTAATTATATTATCACATGTTTCGGGAGCGGTAGTGGGGTTAGAGTGGGGGGACAGACATGTATTTTAATTGTATGATTGTTTATACCGTTAATATAGGCCACACCATTGGTTTTCAGTATATTCTCTTCAAGTACTTTCATCTCATAGCTATCATCTCCGCTATTATTATTCATAACAATAGTATTATTATTACTACTAGTAGTAGTAGTGTCGCTATCATTGGTAGTATTTTCCGGCCATTCATAACGTATCTCATGTAGACTTCCCGATAGCATCTATTGATAATATTTTTTTTTTAAAAAAAACAGTTATATTATTGTAAATATTTAAAAAACAAACCGACAAATAAATATCCATACCTTCATAAAACAGTGTGAGTCTGAGTGGTCGTGAATACTGGACGACTGTCCCTCAGACCAACACAATAGCATCAGATTGTATTTGCCATTACCCTTATCCACCAAATTACGGGTATATCTAATTTTAATATATAAAAATGTATTTAAGTATAATATATATATATTATATATATATATTATATATATATATTGAAAATAATATTTACAATACCAATAGTCTATAGTATTATCATTTTCATGAATCTACAGTTTAGTTTATTACAATAAAAAATAATTTTAACTATTTTTTTTATATGTTTAATCAGTAGATATTATTAATTATTATTATAAATTAAATATTTAAACTTGTTTTTTTGCTACTTTAAATTGGTATTTTTGTTTACAATAAAATATAATCAAGTATATTTAATAAAATTAGTTATCAACAATATTTAAAACTATTATATATATTATAATTTATCTGACAATTATTCAAAACTGACAAAAATAATGATTTTGATTTATTGCCAAATGATAGTAATTGAGTATAAAGTATAAAACTATTATAGATTTTTGTCATTTCAATAATCAATTAAATGATATGATATATAATCATTATATATTATCTATAATATCAATAATCAATAAGTATTTCTCCATATTTTTGTTTACATTGAAATTTAGAAAAACACAGAAATTATTATAAAATAAAGTTTTATCTAACAATTCAATCAATAGTTTCATATACTGTTACTATAGGTTTTGTTATATATTGTTTATTTAACAAATAAATAATTAAATATAATAAAAGTTAAACTAAATACTATAATAATAATATTATACATAACTTACAATTATAGTTCAAATACAGTATTATTTACTTTTCTATATATTTATATATCATAATATGTTATTTATATTATCGTAATTTTAATAATAATAATAATAATAACCTATTTTTGTCAAAATGCGCGTATTTTCGCCACTCCTGTGGATTACTCTTATATGACATCAACAGATTGTGGACATAATCGACATCAACGGTATCGACGGTAAAGACTTCACGCAAGGCTTTCACCAGATCATCAAATGTCTCCACTTTTGACACAATATCTGATTTATTATTATTATTATAACAACTATTATTTGCATAAATAGGTGTATTAGTAGTTGTTGTAGTGATTGTATTATAATTACAATCAATAGCACAATTAATATCCATATTATTATTATTAGTAGTAGTAGTAGTAGTAAAACTTATTATAGTATTAAATAAAACAATATTATTATTAAAGTAAAAATTTACAGACTATTCACAATTAATAATTTTAATACACTTTTACATAATAATTTATTAAATAATTAATTCAGTAAAACAATATATATATATGTATGAATAGTACTGTATATGTAAAGTTATATGAAAAAAACTAATGTTTAATTATTAAGACACTTAATTAAAAAACATATAATTTAAAAATTATACATCAAATATACTAAGTATTTATGAGAGATTATTGATTGATTAGCAAAAAAAATATCAATTGGTATAAACAAAATGATAATTTTAGTTAATTGACAGTTAATGACTAATAAGAAAAAATAGATATTTTATTTTGTAATAATATTAATAATAATTTAACTAATGTCTTATAATAAAAAAAAATATAATAAGTTACTTATAAACAGTCCAATAAACTTATCTATCAATTTTGTTATTATCCAAAACTGTGTATCAAATATATATAAATGTATTTTTCAATAAACAAATAACAACAAACAATTTTTATGTTGAAATAAATAGAAAATTTTAGACAAAAAAAACGGATATTAATTAAATTTAATATGAATTAAAGAAAATATAACGTTATTTTGACAATGTTTTTAACATAAAACTTGAAATAATAAATATTTATTTATTTTATATACTAAGATAATTATGATGATATAATGATTATTATGATTAACTTAATTATAATATGGTCACATGTTGATTTGATTGATTTAAACAATAATTAAAATTTATAAAATTCATAGTATATTCATAATTAAGATAAAGTGTATTGCAATACTCAACAGTTAAAAAAATAAAGTTTAAAAAAATAAAAAATTTTGAAAAAATCTTCTGTTATAATATATATTTAGTAGTTATACCAAACAAACAAAAAATACTATTAATAAAACATTAATTACCTGATTGTTATATGTTTAGCAACTAATAACTAGTTAGGCATTCAATTGAATTACATTAATATTATAGTTTAGTAAACATATAGTTAAATTGGTATAATAGATGATTATCTAGTTTTTTGACAACAATATATAGTATAAGTATTTAATACAGTAAACTATTTTTTTTGCTATAAATATGATATGTAATTAATCATTAGATAATTTTTTAAAATATCATTAAATATTAAATAAAGGGTTTAATAAAATCATTAATTATTATTAAGAAATTATGCAAAATAAGAGTATATGTAAGTATGTGTCTGAATGATAGATAGATAGATAGACAATAGATAACAATTAGTTACTATAAAGCATATAATTTGTTTATATTGTTACTATATATTAATTTTTACAAAAATGTTAATTTATTATCATATTTGCTTATTCATTATGTTTTGTTGAAAAAAATTTAAATATTTTAGTTAAATATTAAAATGTAATGTAATTATAATAGCAAATTATTACTGTATTAATAAATCAAAATGAAAAAAACAATTAAACTTTTTATTATTAATATCTAAAGTTATTTATTTTTTAATATAATAAATTATATGAATATTATACAAAATAAGGTCAATGCAAATTATTTAAATATTAATTTACTAAAAATATAGATTATATATTCAAATTTAAACTGCTATTTTTAATTATTATATATTATTAGAAGTACATACAGTATATATATATATATATATATATTATTGACTAATAAAAAGTATATTTCATTGTTAATAATCATAGCAATGAGTAGTATAATACTAGTAATAATAGTATTACTTATTAATAAATTAAAAACTTGTTTTGATTTGTATATGAAATATAAAGCGTTGACTTTTATTTTTAATTAGTGGGTGTATTGAATAAATATACAGTATTAGTCATAATTAATTAGTAACTATTGTCTAGACTAGTTATGCGTTAGCCTTATAATTGTTAGATATTAATTAACAAGTATTAAATAACTAAATATATATATATAATTAACAAGATAAATTATTTTATAAAATAAATTCATTTGAATACATTTATAGTATAATATTTATATTGTTTGTTAGACGTTTATTTTATTTTAAATCACATCAAAAAAAATATTGTATTAATAGTTAGATTACAAAATAAAACTAGTGATACATAATTAAATTTAAATGATTTTCATTTAATTTACAATATATATAAGGCGTTGTTCACATATTACGTTCGCACTTGAGGGGAGGGGGGGGTTAGCCAAAGCGAACTTTTGCGAACAAGGGGGAGGGGAGGGGTAGAGACATTAAGAACGTTCGCAATTAGATAATATTTCATTTATTGTGGTGGGGGGGGGGTAGCGGTTAGCGACAAGCGAATGTAATTTTTTTAAATGACTACATGCGAACAATTGCGAACATAGGGGAGGGAGGGGGTCTAGATTTCTTAAAAAGTGCGAACGTAATATGTAAACAACGCCTAATACAAATAAAATGTTTTGAAAAAGTTAACTGTAGATACTTTTCATAACATTTTATTTTAAATTTTAATAATTTAATATAAATAACAAATATTTAATATTAGTCTTATAATTCATAAATAATATTATAGTAATTTTATCAAAAGTTTAAACAATATTATTTACTTAAATCAAATATTCATAGAGTTAGTGATTAATATAAACTACAGTTTAATATTTAGTCTAAAAACATATATCATAGATAATAACAGAAATAAATTGTAATATAATTTTAACCAATAATGAAAAATTCAATTATTTAAAATCCGGTTCAGGGATTAATTTATCACTAAATATAATGTATTATTGTATTTACTATAAACAGTATTAATAAAACATTAAAATTTTACATATACTGTATTGATATTAATATATATATTGTATATATAGTATGTGTCAAACATAAAGATAATTAGAAATATATACTTTTTATTTAAAATTATTTGAATGTTTAGTATATATATATTTAAAAATTACTATTAGTCTAATATTTAATCAAAAATAAATATGACTAAATTATTAATTATCTGTATATTAAATGTTATATTTAATTGTTATTCTATAGACATGTTATCAACATTAAGTAATAATCTGAACACAAGTTTGTATTTCAAATTATTAATATATAAAATTTATAAACTTTCAAAAAAAAATAATTAATTATTTTTCATTTATTAATATTTAGGTAATAATGAAATTAACATCAATAGTGATAACAACAAACATATGAATATAATCGAGAAAAATGTTAAAAATACGAAAACATTGATTAATAAAATTATTAACAAAAATATCAATAATAGGTATAAATTAGAAAATTAGTCATTATTTATAATAATTGACGATTTCGTTCAATAATAAAAAATTATTGTATAAATATTTTTAATAATTATTAGTATAATTTCATTATTATTTTTGCATCCGATTATAACAGTCTAACATTTATTTTAAAGTTTTAATTTATTAGCAAATATGTATAATTTTATTTTATATTATTTTTTTATCATTATTTTAAATGTTTTACCAATAAGTTCATTATCCACATTACCATCGATACCCATACTCATCACATCGCCGTCTAAATTGATATCATCGACGCCATCATTGATCACACCCTCGCCTACAATCACCTCATTGTTGCCAACAACTGATTGCACGACAAAAAGTAATTTCTTATATTATATTATTTTTTTTAATAAATTGTTATTTTATTTTATAGTTGAAACTAATACCAGACAAACTCCAGACAATATTGACAGACAAATGAAAGTAAAACAATTTTTGGTGGATATAAATAAAACAAGTAATTTTTATAATTATTATAATTAATGACAAAAAAACATAATAAGGTTAATAACAAATTATAAATTTAATTATAATTATATACTGTATATATCGAAAGAAAAATATAGTTTTATCAGTTTAAGTATATTTTTTTAAAATTTAAAATATATTTTATTTATTTATATTAAAATTAAATTATTTTTAGCTGAAAACAAGACTCTAGTTGAATATATAGACACTTTTTTTGATAATTTATTACCAAATATACCTCAATACGGATGCAATGAAATGTTTGAATGGCTCGGACTAACAAAAACCGGTACAAAATTGTGCAAAACTTTAACTTATGGACCATTTGTATCGTACACAATATGGACAAACTGGTGGGACAGATCACAGTGTGGTGATTGTATGATAAAATTGGATAAATGTATTAATCAAATGAAAACATTTATTAATAATTAGTTTTTCTATTAATTGAAACATATTGTATAGCAAATAATGATTTGTAAAATTATTTTTTATTTTCTATATATATATATCAGGGTTGCTAAAGGTTTTCGATTTCAGGGGGGGTATAGAGGGGTAAAATAGTAAACATTTCGAAAAATCTTGGAGTATAAATGGTTGCATATATTTAGCAACCCTGATATATAATATATTATATATATACTCATAAACTATAAGAAATTAGTGAGAATTTTTTTTATCAATTTTTAAATGAATTTATTATTATTTTTTAACAATTAATGCACACTTACTATCATTAAAATTTGATTAAACTTTTTATTTATTTATGGTCTATTAAAATCAATTTAATGTAAATATTAATAAAAAAAATAATAATGAAATGTTATTAAAAAAATTACTATATTAACACTAATTATAAATGTATTTTTTTGTAAATATGATATTATTATAATAATGTATTAAAATGAATGTTTATTATAATATTATATTTCTAATAAATTTTAATAATTTTTGTTTAATTGAATTAAAATATATTTTTTATTCAATTGATTTTAATATTATTGTTGATTACGACTAAAGCGACAATCAATGCTATCAATTGATACGACCAGTTGGGTAACAAACTGGACGCCGGATTACACGACACACCTGTGTGTGTGAACGTCCATTTGATTTGATCCGGTGAACGACATCTCACATCTAGTGTTTGCATAAAAGTTTTAAAAATATCATTGGGGTTAGAGGTTAGTAGTCAAGAGCTTATGGATGTCGGACATACCTGTGCATTGATTGTTGGCCTGCGACGCACTCGACGACGTTGTGGTCAATCCGATGGTAAAGTGCAGGGCTGGACACGAGGCAAACGTCTTTCCCTGACATGGGTTGCGTCGGGTGAACGTAACCTCACCGCCGTCTTCTGTGGCCTCTGAACACCGATTTGTATCGTTTTCGGCGTTCGGGTATCGGTCGAGACATACCTTGATTTTGGCATTTTCTGCTTTGAACTATAGGTGCAAACAAATGTTTTCTCATTATTATTCATATTAGTGATGTGTATGTTTGCTGTCATACCTTCATATCAATGGTATAACTTTTGATGAAGTATTCCGGATACATAGCCCAATACTGTTTGTAGCCGGGGGTCAGATAGCCATCGTAGGCATAGTTATCCGATTTACGAGTCCAACAGTCGCTGTACTGAAACACTTGAGGCGTTTGCTGGACATATTTGGCCAGAGTTTCGGCATTGCGTTCGACATTACCGGTTCCCATTTGAATCCAATTGCTGTCTCTGGCCAACAGATCTTTAATGTCTTCATTGTTCAAAGTGGCCATAAAAATATTTGTGTCCCGATTTTCGTACCGCAATCGCCACTTGAAGTCATCGTATTTGCGTTTCTGTTCCCTGTCTGTCGGCGCCGGTTTCATGTTTCCAAAGTCAAACCAAACAAAACTTTTGGACGGTATGGCCGCCAACGTTTCGGTCGGCCGATCAAAATCGGTTAGTGTACGGTTGATAAGCTCCATGAGCAGTGCCCGATCGGTAATTCCCATTTGATCTGTAGTTACAAACAAAATTTAGTCATAATTATAGATCACTTATATAGTTATAGATATATGTAATAATACTGACTGTTTTCAAACCAGGCGGCCCTACACGTGGCGCACTGGGATGAGGTAGTATTGTAGGCCAGTGCGTACAACGGTGTGTTCAACTGTTGATTGTTGTCGTCGACAATATTTGGCAAATTGTTTACTCCCTGAGAGTTGACTAAAACGCTTATTGAACCGCCGGTTCGGCTAAGATATAACGATCGGGATACACGAGTAATGAGCTCCAGTTCCTCGTCAAATGCCTGTCCCCGAGCGCCCATATTGTCTAACATGAATAACACGTCGGCCGACGTCTCGAGTGGTGCCGTTTTGATGTCCGAACCGGTCAGACCTTGCATACAAAACGTACGTTCATCTGGAAATCGTATGGGAAATATAGAAAGAGTTGCGATGAGCATCGGTATGTTGTATGATGTAATCTAATAGTGTTTCCTACCTGAGCTCTTATCGTTGCCGGCTTTATTGAGAAACCGTTGAAACGATTGCCAGGTTTCCTGTACAAAACCGGTCAGCTGGTTGTCCTGGAAGGTGCCCTCGTAGAATACACCGTTCCACAGGCGTATATAGTTTTCCGCTTCGCGGCTAACCTTGTTGTTCAGTTCGGTACTCAAACCATAGCCCCGATTACAGACACCCGAATCAGAGGCCAGACCTTTGCTGGAGTAATACTGGCGCAAGATTTGACTCAACGACATAGTCGGATATTGGTTCAATAGTGTCGGTAGACGGCGTCCAATGTTATAGCCGTCGAGACCACCGCGAAGTTCGGCCAGTGTGGCCAAAGTGCCGTTACTTTTCAGTCTGTAACTTGTCTGACACGCCGTCGAATTCCACTCGCCCTCAGCTCCGAACAGTACGTCACCGCGCGGTATAGTCAGTCCCGAACCGGCATCGATGCCCAACAGGTCGGACAGTGTTACGGCCATTAGCGGATCGACTTGTCCGTCGGGAATATAGGTAGTGTCGATGTTTGATATCTTTTTGATGAGATCGCGTACCGCTCGGGCCGGCGGCTGAAGGAGACCTACTGCTGCACCCAATAGGACACGATTGGCGGCTATGGCAGTCGTACGGTCGTTAAGAAAGCTGACGACACCCCTCTCACGTGGTCTTCTGGTCAGTCGAACAGTGGGTGGACTTATGTTTGATCTGAAAAATCGAGAGTAAAGTTATATATTATAAATAGTAACATAAGTTAGATATAGTTATATATAGTCATACATTGGTACAGAAGATACAGGCTTTCCGTGTGTTATTGGTTTTCCTTTTGATGGCTGCGATCCCGATGCCGACGAACCAGATCCTGACGCCGAGCCCGATGGTCTTTGAACAGTTATGGAGGCCGATCCGGCAGCTGCCGACGCTACGGGCCGGGTGGCCGATACAGATGCCTGACGTCTGATACGTTTACCGCGTTGCGGTTGTTGTTGTGTTTTTTGCGGTTTTTGTGGCACTTCCTCGTCATCCTCTTCTTCCTCTTCTTCTTCGTCGACAACGGCCGTCTGTTTCTCTTTTGATGCCATTTGTCTGGACTCGACGGCCACATTCGCCGCAGCCACTGATTTCACAGTTTTAGCCGTTTTGTTGGCCACCGCTGCTCCGATCTTAGGCAAAAACTCTGACTGTACCGGACCTGACATTACCTTTTTGCCGGCCGATAGTGTCTTATTGGCGTCCAGTTTGGCCGGTGCTCGCGACAAATGTACAGTACGATGATAGACGTGTTGAATGTCGTCGTCATGACCGGCCGTTTCGTTGACGGTATGGCTGAGCGCAAAAAATAGGGCACACTTTTCGTCTTCGGTGAGCACCTCTTCGGGAAATTCTGGCGCATCTGCAGCCGAAACACCGCCCCATTCGATAATTTCTTCGGTAATGCGCCGGTGTTTCATCTCGACCTGTGATTGCTGGTTGTTGTTACCGGTTAGATGCAGACCATCGATATGAAACCTATTTTATGATGTGTGTGTGGGGGGGGGACAGGAAGGTTATTAAAGGTTATTAATTAATGTAATTAATTTTTTATTGTTGTAAATTGATTTATAATGATTTATATTAATTGATTTTTTTTTGTTGGTGTAACGGCTAACTTAATTTACTTTAATAATTTATATTTTAGTAATTTTTTTAAAAACTTATGTTATGTGAATAATTAAGTTTTTTTGAACAGTTTTTTTAACTAATTTATAAAATCAAGATATATTTTGAGAAATTTAAAATTATTATTTTTTTTTGTATAAAAATTTCATTGCTATTACATTGTGTAATAATTATGTGTGTGTGTGTGTGTGTGTGTGTGTGTGTGTGTGTGTGCGTGACTTGACTCACCCATCAACTAATCTACCTAAAGATTATTATTATTATTATAATTAACATATAACTTATTTTTTTATAATATGATATAAGTAAAACATCTAAATAAGGTAATGTAGATAAAATACTAAAAATGGCGTTTATATATATATATTTTTTACGGTAAATTGACTAAAAAATTATAATTTTAAATGTATATATATATATATTTATTTAAGCTAGCTCAATTGTTTTACCTTTTAAGCAACATAATGACAACTTGTTTGGCCATTAGATCGGGTCTACGGGACTCGACTTTTTCAATCAATGATATAACATTGTCGATGGACATGCCTACCGGATACTGTTGACCCAATGTCCACGGTTTGCCCGCATAGGTCTCATTGAAACATCGGTCACCGATAATCATACGATACCGGTCCAAATGGACAGATATACAGTCGACATCGTTGACTATGAATACCGTACACGTGCACAGTAGTAGTAGTAATAGTTTGCCGGTTAATAAATTCATGATTTAAATAAAACAGTTTTTTTTAGCAAAATGATGATCACTTATATGAAATATGATGTTATGTTATGATAATGTTTTGATGAGTTTTATTTTGAGCGTTTATAAAAAATGATCCTGTTGATAAAATAATATTTAAATTTTAAATATATATATATATAATTTAAAACATTTTTATAAAAAAATACTAATAATAATAACAGATTCTTATTAATTAAGTATATGTTTGTTCACTACTACTATACAAAATAATATCACAAAAATTAGTTTTGTTGTGTTATTTACAATTATATATATAATAATAATAAATGATAATAATAAATGATTTTGAATTTAAATATTGTTTATATATTTATATATATTTGAATTTAAATATAATTAGAGTCGAACCGGAAGTTCAACTTTTTTTTCGATATAACTGTCTTTTCAAACAAAACGTATTACAAAATTTCATTGATATATACAATATATATATTATTATGACTGTTAAGTTAGCTAGATAAGTTTTTTTTAAAAACTATTATTATATTTACAATGTATTATTCAATGATTATAAAATTGAACTATTGCATTTAATTTATCTAATCACTTAGTGTTGCTATAGATATATTTATAGGAAATATTAGTCAGCTATATGTTATGTATTGTATTTAATATATGAAATAAAATAATTGTTTTTTATTAAGAATAGTTAAGTATTTTTATTATAATGTTGTAAATATTATTTAATTTCTAATGACTAGACGTAACTGAAATAAATAAATATTTTTATTATTTGATTAGATTTGATTTAGATATGCGTATAGTTAACGCATTTTTTATTATAATTGTCAAAATCTATTGATTAGTAATTTTATAATGTAATTAATTTTAAATTATATTATTATTTTTTAATATATTTATAAATATGATAATTAGTACTATTATATAGTTATATTAATATTACTTATTTAGTTTTTATAATAAATAATAATTTTAAACTTGTTTTTTAAATCAATTTATATTATGATAGTTTACTATTTTATAAAAAAAATTATCTAGAACATTTATTATTTTTTAGCTCTATTTATTGTTATATATATTAAAGATAATAAAAACAAACAATACAAAATAAATAAATTACTCATTTAATATTGTTTTTTTTAATTATTATTAACAATAAAGTAGTTTTTATATTACCGGTACTTATAATTCAAAAATTATGTATCAAAATGTGTAGTATATGATACAATATTTGGATAGTAATAGTAATAATATTAATTAAATGTATAGAAAGTTTTTAATTGATTTTTTTAAAATTTAATTTGTAGTATTATTATTAGTATAATTACTGTAAATTAATATGAATAAAGTTTTTCTATATTATATTTTTTAAAGTTATTTTTTAATAATTAATTTATACCGTAAAATAGTTTTTAGTATTATAAATTTTAGTTTTTAATACATTCAATGCTGTATATTGTATCGATGATATAATGACTCAAATTTTATAATTTATTTGTTTTATTAATAATGGTTGTAATTATTAAATGTAATATTATAATTTATAAATATGGTTTAAAATTAATTTATTAATAGATATAGCGGTTGCTAATTAAAAAAATATATAAATGATTTATTCATAGAAATAAAGTAATATATTTTTTTATTTGAAATTTTTATTATAAATTTGATAAATATTGTCAATCATAATATTGATTTGTATTACCAAATAGTATATTTAATATAATAATAATAATAATGTGAAATAAAAACTTAGATATTAATATATATATAAAAATTACTTCAAACAACAAATTGATAAAAACCAATAAAAATAAATGCTTTACTTTATGTTTGATAGCAATTAAATGGCTTACCTTTTAATAAGTTTATTGGGGGAAAATCTTATATAATATAAGTTGATAATATTTATTTTTAAAAATGTTAATTTTTTTAATAATTAATTAAAATTTATGTTATTATTATCGTCCTCATAATTAGTAGTAGTATTTGTTGTTGTTGTTACTATTATTATTATTATTGTAGTAGTAGTAGTAGTAGTAGTAGTAGTGTCACACCTTTGACTATCACTTAGTTGCACATCATATCAATGGACAGACAGCCACTGGTTAGGTATGTGCTGCAGTTGGCAGAACTGAGACACAGTATACAAAACTTTTTACTATACAACAGCACACACCTAATATTAATTTACCTATAATGACAAAAATTATTGTATATATCAAATAACTGTTGTATTAAACTAGGCAAACATTATTTAACCGTATTTATTTTTTAAAGATAATTACTAAAGTGATTAATATTGCTTTTTTTAGTTGCTATTTGTTGTTATAGTTTTTTGTTTTGTTGGTATTACTTTAATATATATATTGAATATCTTAAGTTTGACTTTGGATTAAGCAAATAAAAACTATTAGATAAATTTCTACACAAAAAAATGATATATAATTATATTTAGTGTAATATATTTTCTAACTTTAGTTTTTTATGACTTAAAATATAAATATTTCTAATAATATTTATAAATGTTTTGAATGTTTTTAAAATTTTGCTAAAAAATTACTAATAATTTTTAAAATTATTAAAATAATTTTTGAACTTAATATATATTATAGATAAGTATCGATAATTTCTAATTTAATATAATTGTACAACAACTATGACAATAAGAAAATAATTTTTTATTATTTAGTTAATTTAATATAAATATCTAAATCCCACGCAAACACAGTGATTAATACTTCAAAACTTTATTAACCAGTAATATAGTAATAGTTAAAAAAAAGTATATAATTTTTCTATTTTAATTATTAAATATTCAACCTATATTATTGATCCTATAATATAGTAAATAAATATACTTAAAAATATTTGGAATTTATTTAGAGAAAAAAATTTAACAACAAAATTATTAATTTATTTTTGTTTATTAGAAAAAAGTCACAAAATACATATTGAATTTGTAAAATAATAATGAAAGACAATTATATAGTAAAGATATGATTTTTTTAAATAACAATTATTAGAAAATAATTATGAAAAGAAATCTAATTAAATTATAAATTATAACAAATTAAAAATAGTATCTATTATACCATTAGTTTAATATAATGAAACACACTGGGCTCTCATCCATAATCAAATTAATATTTTTTAAAAAACACAAAATTTCATTAATTAATTTTGGGTAATATATATAAGATAAACTTATTTAAGCAAATACTCCGAGGTCTAATACTAGTACTTCAACAATAAAAAACAAATAAATATATTAATATTAAATAATTTCACAAATCATATATAAAATACAATTAATATATTTTTTTAAAATAAGAAAATGCATACAAATAGATGATTAAAAATATTATTCAAAAAAAAACTAATGATTAAAAAAAAGTTAAAAACAAATATCATATAATATGTTTATAAAATGTGGTATACCATAATTATACAGTATTTTGTTGGCATATAATAAATTTCAATAATTAATAAAATGATAAAAAAAATTTTTTTAATAATATTATTATTATTAAATTATATTAATTAATAATTATTATTACTAATGTTTGTTAAAAAATAAGTATAAAATAAAGACAGTGATCAATGAAATGCATTGTATTGGAGTGGACGGCAGCATATGTAGGGATGAGCTGCACTGGACGCCAGTGTGGGTCACTGTAAATTTGATTTGGTTAGTGTTCATACACCTGGGATCTATTACCAAACAAACAAATATTTATAAAAATTAATATCGCATAAAATAATAATTACTAATAATGAAAATAAAAATTAATTGTGTTTTTCAAACAAACCTAAGCACTGGGTCAACGATGTCTTATCTTTGGCCCAAACGGTAAAATAAAATGGCCGACACGATGAAACCGATTTACCCTTACATGGATTATCGATTTCGAAGTACTGTTCCTCACCGGCCGTCAACTCTTTACAATATTCTTGATCTTCGGGCGGAAACTGACGATCATAGCATATCCTGATATCGCCGTCTTCGGGTTTAAACTAAACAAACAAAAATGATTTCATAATAACATTACCACTTGTATATCAACAACAACAACAAAAATCCTAATAACTATCACCAAAAATAGTTACTACACTTACCGAGAACCTGATGGTAAAGCTTCGGTGAAAAAATTCTGGATACATGGCCCAGTTCTGACGATAACCGGGCGTAATAAAGCCAACATATTGGACACCGTCCGATCGTTTATCTTCGCACATATTATACTGGAAAATGGCCGGATTTTCGCATATTTTTCTGGCCACATTCTGGCCAATCTGTACCGGATTACCCGGCTGCTCTTTGTCGTCCTCGTAGCGCAAGATGTCTTTGAACGCGTCCTGATTTGATGCTATCGACAAAAATCGTACATCCCGGTGCCGATAGCGAAGCTGATCTTTGAAATACTTGTAGTCGTCGTAGTCGGCGCCCGAATCGGGTACTACGCCGACGGTAAAGTCGATTAGTACGGCCGACTTGGCTGGTATGGCCGAATCGTTTACTCGAGGTGTCCACCATTCGTAGTTAAACAATGTAGTGTTTAGTGCTTTAAAGTACTGGCCAATGTTGGCCACTGCAGCTCTGGTAGCTAATTAATAGTTAATAAAAAATAGGTGTTCAATTCAATTGGAAGTGAGGCATATAATTTTTAGGTGGGTAATACATACATGTATTAAAATCATCGATACGGCACTGCGAGCAACCGGCTGCCGACATATTGAAGGCCACTGGTGTGAGCGGCCAATCGCCCTGCGGTAACATCACTCCGCTGTTGACATCATTGCGTCCGCCTTTACTGTTGAGAAATATATTGATCGATCCGCCGTACGGCCGGATATTACCGAGATTTGCATTGATCTGAGCAACAATTTCGGCCGATTGACGAAGTTTGTTGCCGTCCGATCCGTCGATGATATAAATGACATCCGACGGTGTCTCGCACGGCGCAGATTTGTCTATCTGGCCACCCGGTCGGTTACAAAAATCGGTTCCCGAAGTTTCTATAGCGTTAATGATAATAATAATAATAATAATAATATATTAATATATAATAATTGCACAGTTAGTTAGATAACACAACTATAGTTTCAACATAACTAAAGATATCATTGAAATACTTGTTGCTATTTGTTAATAAACACTTGAATTATAATATAACTTTTATACTGTATATATTGTTGAGGGGTTTAAAAATATTGTTTATCTAATCTAATAGATAAATAAAAAAAAACATTTTTATGTTACAATGAACAATTATTTTATACAAAACAAAAAAAACTATAACTATAAATAAAATAAAATTATTTATAATATTTAATAAAATTTACTAAATTTTAATTTAGTCATTTTTAAAAAAAAACAAATTAAAAAATTAATTATATCTAAACAATCAGCTAGTTAAAAAAATAAGCAATGAGATTTTTGGCATACAATTACAGTAATTATCAATTGTAAAAATATTTTTAATGTGCACACATAAACACACAGGTAGTTTAAAGGGTGTGGTCAATCAGATACACACACATGAATACAACGATTATCTTAATGGTTTGGTTGGACATACCTGTTCCAGCAGCCTGTTGTAGGGCCTGCGAGAAGGCACCCAATGGTCCGGGCGGTGGTAGTCGTCCACCGAATTTGATATTTTGTATGATTTGATAATTGCCTGCCGCCTCCTGAATAATAGACTGTTCCTGTGTGTTGACCCGTTGACGATCACAATAGGATACGGTCAACATATTGCTCTTAGAGATCTGGGGTTTGCCGTAAAATGATCGCAAAATTGTACTCAATTTCAATTGTCTCGGATCAAGTTGCGATAGTGAAGCCAAATTGCTGCCAATCAGATATCCATCGATGCCGCCTCTGATTTCGGCTTTTGTGGCCCTAATCGAGTCGATAATTTTCTGCAACTGATCATTGGGTGTTGTCAATGGTACCCGACTAAGTCCGTAATGTGTTGTACAGGTTTGCGATGCCCACGTGCCGTCAATGCCGAACGCGTACTGCAAACTTTCGGTTGGTTCGTCGTCCTGTTGGGCGGCACTGCCCCACAGATCGCCGACAGTTACGGCGGCTATTGCTACCTCCCGTCGCATATCTTTGACATAGGCCTGGTCGACAAACTTGTCCCTGACCATTGCCTGGATCACCGATTTTGTATTCAATCGTATATCCGGTGACATACCAGCAATTACACCGATCAGCACTCGACCCATTGATATGGCTTCATTCGGATTGGACCGGAAGCTGACCACACCTTCCTCTTTGAGCGGATAATACACTCGATTGCTGGAACCGTTGTTACTGTTATACGACTGATAGTTATTGGACGGATGATTATTATTGTTGTTGTTATTGTTATTGTTGGTCAAATAGTTGGACGCTACTGGCATTCGATTGTTACCGCTGCTGCCACTATCACCCGGAGCTCGTTGATAGTACTGGCCATAGTTGCTGGTTTGTCCCTGATTTTGATTTTGGTGTTGACTTTGATAGGCATTCGGTGTCTGAATTCGTCCGTTTGACAACCGATTGCTTGTATAGGCCTGTCGTTTGCCACGAAATACTTGCGAGTACTCTATTCGGGGTTTTTCGCGAATATTGTAGACATTGTGAGACAGCATATAGTATAGGGAACAGAGTTCTTCGGTTCGGAAAAACTGATCGGGAAAGTAGTAATTGTTAAACTCTTGGACACCGGTTGGCTGCAGGAAAGCGTTGGCAATCTCATCCATCCACTGATCGCGGGTACGCTTATATCCCGGATGTAAATTCGGGTCAAACCCATCAAATCGGAATCTAATTTGACAAATAAATAGCACACAAAAATAAAATCAAAACAATATTTACATTAGAATCAAGTGTCCAAAACAATAATAAGTTGTTTTATACTTGTTTTTTGACATTAATTTATTTTTAAACACAAAATCACTTTTTCTAATGCTTATGTAAAGACCGCACCTAACGGTGCTTTTAACTATAGATCGAGAAGAGAGTGAGAGAGAGAGATAGAGAAGCCTATGTTTGCTTAGGTATTAAAAAAATTGTCGTAAATTATATCTAAAATATACAATACGGCATATATATACTACATTATACAATACATACCGTCTTAACAACAATTTTGCTACATTGTCGGCACCGATATGTTGTTGTAGATTCTGATCGGTCGTGTTTTCGAGCAATTGTTCGAGAGTGTCGACCATCGAGATAAATGTCTCGACACTCTGGCCTATGGGAAACACTCGGCCACCAATGCCGCCGGTTCGCTGAATACAGTCCCGTTTGATGACCGTATCGTATAAGTTATAAGTGGCCGAAATAATATTGTCGCCCTCTATTTTGGTATACTGTTGTGAATACTGTGCGCGTACTATACCGATGGCCATCATCGCCATCACCGCAATGATGACTGTCCTCACTGGGATAAGCTTCATTGTTCACACCAATAGTGGCTATTAATAAAAATAACACATTAATAATAAAAATAATAGTAAAACAATAATCTTAATTATTAGATAGTCTATTAATTAAACTAAATAAAAACTAAAATAAAAATATTTTTCTCACAATTAAATCCCCACAAAAAAATTAATGTTTTTTTGGTTGAGTTTTTTTTGTTAATACGTTTTTATAATTGATATTAATATGTTACCTATCAATACAAAAACGAAACATTTAATAATTAAAAAAAATATTGATTAGAAAAATAACAGAACACACAATAAAAAAATATTTTGATGATTATTCACACAATTTTTTTTGATATATAAATTAATGAAATAAATTTAATGTAAAAAAGGGGACAATACTTGATCTAAACCGACACTTAAAAAGCTTATAATATGATTGAAATATATATTGCCTTTTCAAATGGTTGAGCAAATAAAATGACTTACTTTTATTTTGTTAAACAATTATTATTAATAATAATATAAAAAATAGGTGGGTATTAATTGATATGTATCCCCCTTTTTATTAATATAGTTGTAATATATAAATAAAATTATAGATAAAATAACTTATACTTTGCTTTTTCTGTTGGTTTCTCTAACTATTACTACACATATAGTCAATACAATATTAATTTACTTTATATGTTATTTCATATATATATATAAATTTATTTACTTTGATAATCACTATTAGCGAATAAATCTATTATATTATTATTATTGCTATCAATGTTAGTTATTATTTCATATATTCTTGTATATATGTGTTGGACTGTCGTATATGGGTATACACAATGAGCTAACTTTCCCCATAATATTGTCAAAAAAAAATGATTACAATTTTCAATCACAATATTAAATAAAAATAGTTATATAAATCTTTATAAAGAATATAAATTATATTTTTTTTTGCAAAATTTAAACGTTTTTGCAGTAAATGTAAGGCACTTGAGATATAATATATCATTTTAATATAATTTATTATTTATGATGATATCACTCACAGTCACTCATATAAATTTTAATAGTGTTTTATTAGATTATTGGCATTAAATATAAACATATATATATTTGATATATTTATGTTATTTGTTATTACATACGGAAATGTTAAAGTATTTACTGTTTCATAGTTTCCGGTGTATGTATAAGCGTATGTTTGAAGACATTTAAATACACACTTTTTTTTATAGACGACATAACTTAAAAGTCAAATGACTGATAATTATCTTAATATAAAGTTATAAATAAAAATATAATAATTAATTTTAACTATAAATCAATTGCTATTTATTTTCTGAATATCAAATTACAATTAATATGTAATAGATGAATAGTATTTTTCAAACTAAGTTTACTTTATTAATATAACATTATATTACAATTATTAAAGTAAAAAAATTGTTAGAAATATTTATTTAAATTTTAAGAAATCGTTTTTATTTTAAATATGTAATTTGATAATAAATACTAAAATATTTGTAATATTTGTTATTTTACCAGTTTTTCTTAATTTAAGTTCATTATCAATATATCAATAATTACAAGTATTTTTTTAAAAAAAACTTTTGATAAAAATCTATATCTATAACTATATTATATTTATATAGTATTTGAAAATCATAAACTTTTACTAAAAAATTTATTGACAAAAAAAATGTAAACGACCAAAAAAACCACAACAAAAATAATAATAAAATATTTGTTCATATACTAAATACACACATATTTGTATACATTTAATATAATAGTGATATAATTTTTTTTTAATTAATATACTGTATATACTGTACAGTATAATATATACAGTATATATTTAATAAATGATATATATATATATAATAATTAAAAAGTGAATGAATTCATGATTATTTCCGTTAGAAAGTAATAAAAAATATATAATTAAAAAAAGTTTGTTAACATCTATATTCAAATTTTATTTTCATTAAGTTATATCAAAGAAAATTATTTCAATTATAAAAAAAATATTACACATAAAAATATATTTAATTTTTTAGATTAACCAATATTTATATTATAATAGTAACATTAATTTTAATAAATATTTAATTAAAATAAATAGATTAGCAAACTTACATTACAATATTTCCAATTAGTTCAGTTAATTAATTTTTATTTTATTTTATTTATTACATTTGCAATAAAAACAATTATATTTTTTGAAAATTTAAAAATCAGTGTTATATTTAAATACCAGTTCTAAATAAGTTAATTGAGATATTAGTTATAATATTTGTTTATATAGAGTCACACCCTGTAGTAAACAATGTTGTTATGAAACAAAACGTTAATGTGATTTAATTGAATTAAAATACTGTATATGTATTGTACAGTATCTTATCATTGTTGACTAACTTATTAAAGGAGTATATACCGTATATGAATTTGTTATGTCTTTTTTTGTCTGTCCGTCCAATGTTTAGAATTGTCGTTTAGTAACTTCTAATTGTCCGAATGTTTAGTAACTTTTTATTAGTTATTTATGTATGGATTTATTTGTTAAAAAATCATTATTATGTGAAAATAATTATAATTGGAAATATTACTTTTAGTTAATATATCAATTACTATATAAGCTAACAAACTCTAAACAAATAAAATCTATCAATTTTAATAAAAAAAAGACTAATTAAAATTATTTTCATAATTCTATAATTTATAACATTTATTTCGTAAAGTTTTAAAGTTTCAATTTTTTTAATTGATCTTTGTCATGTCAATTTAAAAAAGCTAAAAACGTGTCTAATTATTTTCAATATATTTAGATTTTTTTGTTATAAAAGTTCAATATATCATGTAGTTTCTGAGATATCGTACTTCCCTGAACTAACATACCGGTGCCCATATAAATACAGTATCAATGTATTGATGACCAATTGGTACAACATTTCTAAATATGTACTAAAACTATGCTAATGTTAAATGAAATATGTGAAGTACATAGGTTACAAAATATATGATATATATAACATTATTATTGATAAATGATAAACTGTATGTACGATAATTTTATTTATTTCTCAATAGTAAGTGGGTGAATTTATTATAATAAATTCAAATACAGCATATTTATATATATACAGTATATAAATAATACAAACTATCAATTTATACTAAATATATATATATATAATATATGAATAGCAAAACATAATTTTTAAAAAATATTATACTTTAAAATCAGATTTATTAAAATTTTGATTTTCAGTATTAATATTTCTATTTAGTTTTTAATACAATCGTATATTTATGCGGATAGATATCGTTGAAAGATCCATTGGGAAGGATATCTAAACCATTATGACTGTCCAAAACAATGTCATAGTTTTGTGTCGATTGTAGAAATCGGACCAAAACTAGAAACAGGTCAACAATAGCCAACTTCTCGCCTAAACATATACGACGTCCCACACCAAAGGGTATGAATGCCGGCGAACGGGCTGTCATATAGTGGCCGTCACTGTCGAGGAAGCGCTCGGGTATAAATGTTTCACTATTTTCCCAATATTTGTCGTCTCGTAAAATAAATCCCTGATATGCAAACACAGGCATATCTTTTTGTATTGTATAGTCGCCTAATTACAGTATTAGATAATTATAATTAATTTTATAATATTAATATAAAAAAAAAATTAATAAATAATATATTTTAAAAAAAATTAATACCTATTTTACTGGTGATCATTGCTTTGTGAAAGACACCTCCCGGCACAACATTTCTGAATCTTAAAGTTTCGGCAATAAATGCCATCACATAATGACATCGCTGTCTATCTTCATGTGTTGGCATTCGGTCGCCAATTATTGAATCTATTTCTTGTCGTAACTTTGTTTGCATCGATGGATAGTAGGATAATAACAGAAGTATCCATTGAAATGTATTTTGCGATGTATTGGTTCCGGCAAAGAATAGGTCAAATATAGCCAGCGCTAGATTTTCATCGGTCAGATACTGTGCCGACTCTTTTGCCTCCCGGAGCGCATTGTTTTTGGCAGTTATAAGTGCATCGCAAATGTCTCGTTCAATACTTGAATCGTAGTCATTGTAATGCAGTCTATATTTATCGATAAACTGGTCGATTAGATCACTAAAGTTTTTCTCATTTTTTCTAATCATTTTCTGGTCAATCCATCGGACAATCGGTGATATCTCCCATAATAGCCGTCGTGTAGCCAATTCTTCGTTAACATCGGTTAACATATATTTTAATTGTTTGAACACCGGGTCATCAATACTATAGCTATTTATTAGGTAATATAAATATATATATACCACACATATATTATAGTTAATTTTGTATTAATAAACTTAATTTTTGAATTTACGTTTTTCCGAAAGTACTGATCGCCAAAATATTGAGAAACGTTAAGTATATGTAATTGAATGGATCGATAGGTTTGTTTGGACCCTCTCTTTCTAACATTGTTTGGACGGTTTGGTCCACACAATCGACCGCTACGTTAACTAATTGTTCATTAGATGAGTATTTTCTGACAACATTTATTAAGTAATGTATTAATAGTTTTTAATAAGTTTATTAATTAATTAATTAATTAATTAATTTTTTAAAACTATATGTTAAGCAATACGTACAGTATGGCCGAGTGCGCCACACTTCTCAATGCTTCCCAATGATTACCGTAATCGGAAAAAATGATATCCGTTTTAAATGAATTACCTTTTTTTTAAAATAATAAATTTAGTAAATAATAATAATAATAAATTATAATTAATAACCAAAATAGCTTTGAGGTCTTCCAGATAAATATTTTTTACGAAAAGCTTCCCTTGCGATGATTGCATCGGTTATAATAATTTGTGGACTGTTTCCCAAATATAGTGTATATACCGGACCATATTTTTTGGCAAATTTTGTCAAAACGTAATTACAATGTTGTTTAGTTTTGAATGCTATAAACAAATAAATAAATAAATAAATAAGCAAATTATTTATTATTAAGTATATTAAATTTTTTTAAAAAATATATTTTTATAGTTGATATTACAAACCCAACAAATTGCCGATCAGTGGCAATGGAAATGGACCGGGAGGTAGACTGTAATATTGATAATAAAATTTTGCCATTTTGTAGACCATATATGCAATTAGTAGACTTGTTATTGTTGTCCATATATCTGATATGAACCACAAAAATAATTGTGACAATAGAGACATATTATGTAATACAATATTAATATATATATTTATAAGCTTAGAATAAACTTTATTATATAAATTTTATTTAAATACAGTAATTGTTCAAGCTACAATATATATAATATTCATTAGTTACAGTTAGTCACATAAATTTACTAATTGTTTATGAACTTTTTTTTGTGGTGATATAAAAATTGATTTTATTTTTTTTAATTTTTTTTAGTTACTTTACATTAAATGCATTGTATTTCTACAAATGATAAGTATGTTTCTAAAATTTATTCAATTGTTTAGAATTTATGTTTACTTATTTTTTTTTAATTAATCATAATTAAAAAATGTCTTAACTCATGGTGAATACAAATTTTTACGAACTACTGAAATGAGTACGTATCTGAATTCTAAATGTCTGTCTGTCCCAATTTTTTTCGAATTCTTAAATTTTGATTTCAAATTTTCATAAAGCTAGAGATATCAGTATTGAAATTTTGATATTTCATCTGGAACATAGAGAAAATGGCGTCCAAAATAAAAAATATTTTATTTGATTTTTAAGTTTAGATTTGTGTAAAGCATGGAAAATAAAGTATAAGTGATCTGCATTTAAATTTTTATCTCTTCAAGAACATTAAGAAAATGGTGAGTAAATTTTTAGTTTAGGTTGTTTAAGCAGAAAATATTTATTAAATTAAAAAAAAATTAATGTTAAAAAATGGAGGATGTATATTTTAAAATATTACACTTAATTTAACTTAAGCCAAGAAACATAAATAAAATTGAGTTTATTTTGCTATACTTAATCATTTGATATCCTACATGACTAATTTTGTGTTTATTTTGTCATATTGAATTATTTCATAACCTACATTATTAAAATTGAGTTTACTTTGTTATATTGAGCCATTTAATGCATAACATGACTAATGTTGAGTTTATTTTGTTAAACTGAATCCATTGATTCCTTACATAATTAAAGTTGATTTTATTTTGCTGATTAATTTGATTTGTAATTTAATTTTTACTTTGGATAACGAGTTTGTATGGAAATGCTTTCTAGCATTCTCAACTGGTTTACTATTAATTTATTAAAATTACTTAAATAATATTTTAAATTTTGCTAATTACATTGCTTATTTCAATAATTTTATCATAAAAATTTATGTTGACAATATTTTATATACTAATTAATTGTAAATGAGTTATTCAAATATTTAAATAACTTTACCTTAATATCAGATACAACCGACTCATGATTTATATTGAATATCTAGTAAACCATATTTTACTTATAAAAATGACTACAAATGGCAATATTTAAATAGATTTAAAGTTTATTTTGATTATTTTTTATATCTAATTTTTAAAAAAGGTCGGATGCAATTATCTGGTTCAATCATACAAGTAAATAAAAAAAAACAAAAAACAAATTTAAATTTTTATATTTTGTATAAAATCAGTCTATAACTTTGACATTGATCATTTTAATCTATAAAATATGGTTTACTAAATATAATATTTAATATATATTATAAATCACCAATCTGATTTTAAGATATTGTCACAATTAACTAATTTCACAATTTCTAAAAAAACGTAAATTCACTTTTTTAATAATAAATATTGAATAATTAGTATAAATATATAAAATCTATACATTTTTTTTGAACTACCCATATATATATCTAAACACATAAACAATAAAATATATACTAGTTTTTTTAGTGAATGATTTGCTAATAATAAGTCATTACTGTATTATTATTATTATTATTAAAAAAAATTCAATAAAAAATATTACAGTAAATTATTGTACAGTAAAAATAATTTTGATATTTATTAAAATAATAATAGCTAATTATTAAATTTTAAATATATAATTTTAAATATATAATTATAACTATATATTAATAACATTTCACTTTATTATATCAACATTAATAAGTAGAGGTACTATACCTATAGATTAAATTATAAGTAATTTTTTTTACTATTGCTACAAATGTTTTTTTATATGATATATTTAGTGTTTACAGGTAATCAGCAAAAAATAAATGTCGTTTAAAAACAATTAACAAATTAAATTTCTAATTAATTGTATATTTTGCTTAAAAATTTATTTAACAATAGACTATATTAGTAATTTTATATCAGTTAATATTTAATAAAAATCTTATTTTGTTGAAAATAACTGTTTATTATATTTATCAGTAATAATCTAAACCTGTAATATACCAACAACAACAACAAATATAATATTATATAAATTCAATTGAAATTAAAAAATAATTTTATTAATTTTTTTTTTAAATAAATATGTCATTTTAAGATAAATGATTTTAAAAACCAAACAACAACAACAAAAAAAGAGAGATATTATCATAAATTCAATGTTTGTTTCTTTTTAGTGTAGAAATGATCAAATAATATTGAATGTGATGGTTGTTATAAAAATCGGTGACTGACATGTATATGATATTATATACAGTATATTTAGGGCACATAATCAAGTGGTCGATTGAAACCACCCTTTCTGTTCATATATTGTCGATATTTACGCTTTTGTAAGACATGTACAGCACTGACATCGTTGCCTTTGACACGTTTGCCCTATCGGTGCGCAAACAATAGATAGTCAGAAAAAAACAAAATTAAAATTTTAGATATAATTAAAATTATATGATAAATACGGACATAAAAAATAAAACATACTTTAGTGGTATCAAAGTCGCCAAAACCCATCATTTTGATCATTTCTATCTCTTCTTCACTTTTGCCCTCCAGTGCCTTGTCGTCCAACTGTGGCCTCGCGTCGGCGTCGGCTTTATGACTACTTTCCGACTTATCCCTACATATGACAGAAGATAATAAAAAGATTTTTGATTAAAAAATCAAGAAAATTGTTTCGAAATTCAAGTCGAAAATATGATTTATGATATATATATCTATAAAAATAACTAATACTTAGATCGGCTCCGATGTCGGCGTCGGCTATCATTCGGTGATCGACTGCGGCTACGAGTCCGGCGGCGATCTGTTTATACAAATTTATACAACAAATCAAAACATTTATCCGAATAACTAAATTTAGTATTAATACTAAATGTATTTTCAGATATAATTACCGGACGAGTGGTCGCGACGGTCCCTATATCGGTGTCGATCAGGCGACGATCGGTTACCACCGCGGCCTCGATGACTGTCGGCCGACGGCGACAATCGGTGTCTATCGCGATCTCTGTCGCCGCCGCGTCGGTCACGATCTCGATCCCTGATCCTGTCCCGATCTCGGTCCCGATCCCGGTCACGAGTCATAACGTCTATTATAAGTTTAGATGAGTTAACAAAACAAATAATAATAACTAAATTTAATTAATTAGTTAATAATAATAATAATAATAATAATAATAATAAATACAATAATTGTGTTTACAGTGGGTTTGAATGTCAAACGTGTGTTTATAGTGTATTTGATTGAACGCATGCGCCGTTTGACACGCAATACACACCACACAAATCGTGGCATTTGTTTTGATGTTATTATTATTATTAATAAATAAATAAATATTAAATAAATAAAAGAGAAAAACAATTATCACTGAAATTGTGTCCCAAAAAAATATATACAACGATTGTGTCCAACAATTATCCAAACATTTTGGACAATAATTGCAATTAATTTATCGCAATAAATACTCGTCATTGTCATCGTCATGTTGGCCAACAAAACGGTGGTCACCGATAGTGGTCGCCGTTGATCCGCAAAACCCTCCGAAGATATCCAACAACTATATATCATAATCGTCTAAATAAAGACAAGACATCTTTTTTTTGGTGACAATCAATCAAAAACCTATTGTTGTCATTGATATATCAGCGCATCAGATGCCGGCCAACAATACATCCACTGATGCGTCGCCGCAACCGACGCCTTCCGGTTCGGGTCACGACCGTCAGCCGAGTGTTCAGTTGAAGATTGAAGCGGCCGGCGGTCCGCCCAGTCATCCGCCGTCGCGCCGTTATCTGCAAATAGTGTTACGTAATGGTCGCTATTTTTTCTCGCAGATATCGGTAGTGGTGAACAAACTGTCGCCAATTGTCCAGATATTTGTTGTCGTATTAGTACTACTTTATCTGATCCAAATGTCTGGCGATATGGTCACCGATTGGCTTATACTATACCCGCAATCCGTACTGTCTGTCGGCCAATGGTATCGCGTATTGCTGTCACTGTTTACACACCCTTTCATTGAATTACACTTTTATATACTAATCGTTGACATAATCTCTATATCACTGTTGGCCACACTTATAGAGCCTCTATGGGGACTCAAAGAGGTGATCATATTTTATCAAAATATTTTTATAACTCATATAACTTAAAGGGTTTTGATTTTTGTTAACATTTTTTAGGTAATATTATTCTTCTGGATAGTGACAATCTCTTCGGCGTTCATGTCATGTCTGCACTATTTCCTAATATATGTCGTCACCCGAGATGACACCCAATTGTTTGCGACCCGTATTCACGGTTTGTCGCCGTTTTGTGCATCGATTGCCGTTACGGTCAAACAGATGCTCTCCGGATCGGTATTGTTGACCACTGCAATCGGTCGACTCAAGAACGACGACATACCGTTAACATCGTTAATCTTAGCGTTTGTCGCCTATTTGTTAAACTTAATTGAAGGCGAAATAGTTGTCATGTTCTTCTATGGACTGATTTTTTCCTGGATTTATCTCCGATTTTTTCAGATACATACGCGCGGATCGGCCGCAACCGGCAATCGCCATCAATCACGCGGCGATACGTCCGACGCGTTTGCTTTTTACACGTTTTTTCCGAACGTTTTGCGGCCAATTGTGGCAGTGTTTGCCGATGCCTTATACGGACTGTTTGTCAAGTGTGGCCTCTGTCCCAATGTACGAACGGGAGACCACTATCAGACACAACGACTGTTAAGCGAACGGCTGACCAACGATATGAACCATCAAGTGATAAATACTAACAGCCTTCCGGTGGCCAGCGGTAGTGGTCAGCAATCGCTGAAAGTCGAGACATTGTAAAGACAGAGAGAAAGAGAGTTATAATAATTTTGTTTTGTTTGTTAATATTTTTATTTATATATAATTTTTTTGGTTAATTTAATCGATTAATTTTTTTCTTGCGGATTTAAATTATAACTTACAATATATTTTTTATATATATATACAGTACAGTACAACAAATTATTTAAATAAGTTATTTAATTGATTGAATGATTTAATTAATATTATTATTTAATTTCATAATATAATTTTCTGAACAAAATTTATTATTTTTTGAGTGTTTTTTTTAAATTATAAGTTATTATTATTTAAGTTAATGATTGAATAAATTTTTAATAAATTTTTTAATTTAATTATTATTTTTTATTTTGATCTGGGCAATATTTATTTTATTTATTCTCATTTTTTTATATTTAATTAAAGAGCTTCTATAGTGACCAAAGCCACTAAAAAAAACTTAATTAATAAAATATCCATAAGATATGCAACCAATTGACTAATACAAGCGCATAATAATTAAAAAAAAAAATATCATTTAACAAAACCCTACCAAAAATATATATAATATCAAAATTGTTTATTTTATAAAAATGTTAGACACATTTGCTAATATACTATTGTATTAAAAAAAAAGTTAAAGTATTATTAATTATTTGTAGTTAACAAAAATATTTGTAACAACAAAACTAATATATATTATGTATAAAAAAATTACTATTCAATAAAATATCTATTTGATGATGAAAAATAAAAATTATTAGCAATAATGTAATTTTATTATATAAATATTTTTTAAAAATAATATTTAATTTATAAATTATAATTATTACCGTTTGTTATATTTAGTTATAATTATACTGACATCTAGTTTCATATAATTTATTGTATGTTTTTTTCTTATACAATACAATCTCATTATACTGTATATAATCAGCGGTACAATTGTTTGTAAATAATTGTAGACAATTGCKATAACTTGAACAGCCATTAATGTCAACAAATTGAATAATTTTGCCACACTTTTGATTTTATTAATACACTATTAATATATATGTTTGTTGTGTGTTATTGTTGTCACACAAAACATAGTGTTATTTATTATAATATTATTATTACTATTATTACTATCGTTGACCACAAACAACAACAACAATAACAACATTGACTGTAGCTGTCAGTGCGGGTGTTTAAAACTAACTGTCCATTTAGTTTAGTTGTTTGTTTTTGATACCTGTGCTCTCCAAACATATCAACAACAAAAAACTGTTTGGTTTGGTTCCGGTGTTTATATGTTTATATCTAAGACTATGACCATCAGTGGTGTGACGACACCTATATATATGTTGTTTTGATTTTTTTTGTGTTTGTTTTTCATTTGTGACAGTTGTTGTTGATGTAAATGATTGTCGGATCAATTGTATATCATATATATAATGATTGATATCTATTTTTTTAGTAAAGCTATTTTGTTGATGTGATAATCAAAACCAATCAAATCACAAATCAAAACAAAAGACAACAACAAAACATTTTGTGTTTATCCGCGCGAACTCAGGAATAGCTGAAGACTGTTGTTGTCATTGCCATCGAAAGAGAGACTACTATCTAATTCATAAACACAAAAGTGATTTACTATTATATCAAATGAGACATTGAGAACAATAACGAAGAATATGTCGATATTAGAGAAACTATCGGAGCAACAGCTCACTCGACAACCGGAGGAAGTGTTTGATATTTTATGCAAATTAGGTATAAAATTGATTGATTGATTGATTCAAATATATTATTTTATATTATAAATGATATCACATATAATATCTATTTGTTATATTTATTAGGCGAAGGATCATATGGATCGGTTTATAAGGCGCTGCACAAGGAGTCTGGTCAGGTACTGGCCATCAAACAGGTGCCCGTCGAGAGTGACTTAGGTATATGTTTTGACATTTAATATTAGTTGTTGTTATTGTCTCAATTGTCTGACTAAACTAAATATTTCAATAATCAAAAATTCAGGTGAAATAATCAAAGAGATCTCAATTATGCAACAATGCGACAGTCCTTATGTTGTCCGATATTATGGCAGTTACTTCAAAGGTTTGTCATACTTGAAGATTATCCAAAAATAGTTTAATTATCTAATGATAATAACCCGTACCATAAGGTTCTGATCTCTGGATTGTTATGGAGTATTGCGGCGGCGGATCCGTGTCCGACATCATGCGAATGAGGAAGAAGACACTGAGCGAAGACGAGATATCCACTATACTTAGGGATACATTGCTGGGTCTCGAGTATCTGCACCAACGGCGCAAAATACACCGCGACATCAAAGCCGGCAATATATTACTAAACAGCGAAGGACACGCCAAACTCGGTACGACTGTCCGACTTTTTTTTACTGTTTTACCGGTAATTGAATTATTTTTCTATTAAAAAAATGTTTAGCCGATTTTGGTGTCGCCGGTCAGCTGACAGACACAATGGCCAAACGTAATACAGTGATTGGGACACCATTTTGGATGGCGCCCGAAGTCATACAGGAGATCGGCTACGACTGTCTCGCAGATATCTGGAGCTTAGGTTTTTTGACATTGTTTTTAGTTTAAACAATTAATTTGCTATTAAATTTTGGAAGCATTACAACAATAATATTGTTTTTTTTCTCTTCAATTGTTAGGAATCACTGCACTAGAGATGGCTGAAGGCAAGCCTCCGTACGGTGACATTCACCCAATGCGTGCCATATTTATGATACCGACCAAACCGCCGCCCTCTTTCCGCGACCCGGACCGCTGGTCGTCAGAGTTTATAGATTTTGTTCAGAAATGTCTTGTAAAAAATCCAGAACAACGGGCAACAGCCTCGCATCTGTTGCAACACGAGTTCATTACACGCGCGCCTCCCGTATCCATATTGCAAAATATGATTCAAGAGGCCCGACTCATATTACAAGAAAACAATATCCGTGATGTATGTGTTGTTATCTTTACATGTCATGCAATAAGTATTTTAAATTGAAATTTTTGTTTAATGTTTAAATATCAGGACATGGATGACATCGACTCGTCAACAATGATACCGTCAAAAGATACGACACTAAAACCGCCGCCATTAATGGATCAGACAATCAGTTCGTCGACAACCAAAACAGGTGTATCGGATGTATCGTCTGATTTGGGAACACTTATTATCAACGATGAGACCGATGAAGAAGACATCGATAAGACATTGAAACCGGCATTTCTCCAGCATTTTGAACGCAACGACGCCAAAGCAGTGAGTGATTATATTATTGTTAATATTTAGTTAATTTAATAAATTAATAGTTTACTAATATAAAATAATACCTGATTTTAAGGTAAATAACAACAATATCAATAATAATAATAATAATAATATAAATATTAACAAAAATAACATAAACACCGGTCCCTCTGATCTATATAACAATCAGCAGTCGTCGTCAGCGTCGCAACAGTTAAGTCATTCATCAAATATCGGCCAAACGGTCGACGACTTGCATGCCGGCGGCGGCGACACAACTAATCACTACGAAAACAACTATTCAAATGTAACGTCCAGTGGTCAGCCATTGACGCCACAACAACAACAACAAAATAGTAGTAATAATAATAATAGTCCACAATATCAACTACTGATGGGACAATCACCGCACGCCAGTCCACTGTCTTCCCCGTATAATCCGATGACTAGAGCCATACTATTGGAAAGTGATTTTGAGTTCCTGCGATACCTGTCCACCGACGAACTGAAGGCCCGAATGGCCAATTTGGACGTCGAAATGGAGGCCGAAATCGAAGAGCTTAGGCGCCGATACGCCACTAAGCGTCAGCCGATACTCGACGCTATGGACAACAAAAAGAAAAAACAACAAAACTTTTAATCGGATCGTTGTTTTGATTGGAAGTCATTTGATTATACAATTTATAAAAGACATTATTAGTGAATATATTATTATTATTGTGTTTTTAGGCGAAAAATTAGTTTATTATCAGTTTATTATTATTATTGATTACCATATATATATTAATATTATAATAGTGTTTTTTGTAAAAAGAAATTAATAGTTAATTGTTTTTATATATATAATAACTTTAAAAAGACAACCCAACAAAATTAATTGAAAAAAACTAAGATCTGATAATAATATTTATTCATTTTTAAAGCCAAAAAAGTTTATATAAGTTTACAGTATAATCACACTTATTTTAAAATGAGATTTACTTATTATTTTTATTTATTTATTTCATTCAATTTAATTGATTGTCTCTTATTTGTGTTATTTTTTCAAATTATTTTCACTTTCATTAGCAAATAATTAGACCACTTGTTTAAATTTTTTGTAATTTTTACAATAGATTAGAAACTACGGTAATAGTGGCAGAACATTAAATTAATTTTAATTATTTTGAGTTAATATATATATATATTTATTTTTAAAAAAATACTTAGTTTTTTATGTCTTATAAAAACAATTGAAAATGTATATCAGAAAAAAAGTTTATATTTTTAAAATTTATATAGATTTACAAATATATATAAATATTATTAACACATTTTATAAATTAATTATTATTAGACATAAAATCATATCTAAAATAATGAGACAATTTTTTTTGTGAATAGTTTTGAATGACTTTAACATTTGTTTAAAGTTTTATTTATATCAAAACTTAAATTTAAAAAAAAATAAAATATGTTTTATCTCAATTAATGTTGATAAACAAATTTGAGACAACAATAACAAAAATAAAATAAATAAAATCCTATTTTTATATAAATAATTATTTATTATAATATTAAATACAATATATTTTGTGTGCATTTTATATAATTATTATTATTATTATAGACGTTTAGTCAAATTATTAAATTATATAACAAAATAATATTGTAACACAATGTAAGTCGAGTGATTGAATGAAAAAAATCGTATTAATTAATAAATATTTTTAATTAAAAAATTATATTTAATTATTTTGTATGAAAACAGTTTGTACTAATTTATAAATTAGTTATGTTTTTATTTTATTAACTAAATTAACTTAAAATAAATTTGATTTTAATAACATTTTACTTAGATTGTTTGTTTGAAAAAAATTATTATAATATTTTTAAATAAATAAATATCATTGATGATTACGGTAATAATATTTTTTTTTATTAAATATGCTTGATGAAGTCAAATAAAAAAATAATTTGCATTTAATAACTTATTACAAGTTTATGTATAGTATGTTATTTTACACTATAAACAATCATAAATAATTATATAATTTGTCATATAATGATAATTAATATTTTCGTATAAATTACACTAATTTGTTAACATTAATTATTTTATTATTAACATAACTTTTTTATCATATCTATTAACCACTAGATATTATATTAAACCAGAATGACATTGAAATAAGATTATATTAATTAATCAAATTTTTTTTGTACAATTAGTTAAAATACAGATTTTTTTGTTGATAATTTTTTTTAAAAATAAACATAATTTTATTTTTTTATATTTGTATTACATTTTTGTTATATAATGATTTATGATTATTTTTTTAAATCGGTTGTTAACATGAAAAAATAACATTTATTATAATTATAAAATTAACCTTGAACAATTTGTTAATAAATAAAATGAAAAAAATAATTATAAATATATTTATACTAATATTAATTAGTAAAAAAACATAAAAATTGATTTGACCAGTAAGTGCATTATTTTTTTTTTGAAAAATGATCTGTCAAAATTTTTATTATCAATTTAGTAATTTTTTGAAAATCAATTGGCAACAAATGTTTTTTTAAAAAATAACAGATACTGTTTTAAAAAATAGTACACATTGAGTACATTTTTGATAATATTAATATTATAAAATCTGTTTCATTATTTTTTTTAAAAAAATTGCATATAAATAGCTATTGATTTTAAATTTTAAAAAAATCTATCACACCATTTGTCTCATAAAGCATTTACCACTTCATTACCCCTACACTACATATAGTTCCTCAAAAGTATTTAGTATAAAATTAATGTTTTAACAAAATTATTTTATAGCTTAAAAATATTCATCATTAACAACAATAACGATAAAAAAATGTTTGAGAAAGTGATCGCAGATTTCCGTAAAAACGGTTTTGCAGTAATTCCCGACTTTCTCGACGACAAACAGGTGTCTGATTTGAAACAACGGGTTCACGAATTGGTCGACGGCATCGACGTGACGACTGAACGGTTGGCCACTGACGACACATTGAATCCGAATATAGACGTCGAGTCGGCCGACAAAATCAGATTCTTCTTCGAAAAGGAAGCATTTGATGAAAAGGGAAATCTTGTTGTCGACAAACATCGGGCGCTCTTTCGTATTGGGTTTGCGTTGCACTGTTTGGACCCGACCTTCAAAAGAGTGACCTTTGGCGACAAAGTTAAACAATTGGTCCGGGAGTTGGACTTTGCCGAACCCCGGGTGGCACAGAGTATGTATATATTCAAGAATCCGGAAATCGGTGGCCTATTCATACCACATCAGGACGCAACGTATTTGCATGCAGTGGGCGATGAGCTCCGGGAGGTCGGCATATGGTTTGCTTTGGAAGACGCAACGGTATGTATTGATAGTTAGATATATTAATATTTGTATATATTTTATGGCTTATGTTGTATGCAAACCATTGAATTAGGAGGAAAACGGTTGTCTGTCATTCATTCCCGGCTCGCATAAGACTGGTCTTCACCGTCAGTACGTAAAGAGTGATAAGTCAAACGATAAACCGTTTGTCTTTACTAACGACAGTCCCGACTATAATGAGTCGGACTTTATTCCGGCGATCGCTAAGAAAGGATCTGCCGTTTTGATTGACGGTCTTGTTGTTCATCGATCGGCACAGAATCGGTCGCAAAAGGGACGACCCATCTATACGTTTCATTTGTATGACGACAGCACATGTAAATGGGATGAAAAAAATTGGTTACAACCGACACCAATCAATCCCTTTCCTCTACTTTATACTAATTAATTAAAAAATTGTTTATTTTATTTGGTTTATTAAGCAATTTTGATTGTAATGTTGTCGTTGTTGTTAATCATGTTTATTGTTAAGCAATAAAATAGATTTTAAAAATTTAAAAACAATTGCAATATTACTTTATGTATTTTTTTATAAAGTAAATCATATTTTATTGTAAATTTTTTTATTCAAAACTTTAAAAACACATACAAAATTTTAATACATAAAAATTATATCAAGTTATTATAGAATTATAGCAAAATATAAAAACATTTATTTTAAATTAAATATATTTAGTTTAATTGTTTAATAATTAATAAATTAGTAAAAACTATAAATATATCTACAATGTTATTATCAAATAGTTTTTTTTCTAAAAAAAAATTCTTACAAATTAACAATAAATTTTGAGTTAAATATTTTTTCAAAAATATTTTGATTGTGAAAAATATTACTACTAATTGCACCATTAAATGAATCGTTTGTTATCATTAAATAATCGTTAATATATTCAACTAGCTTTGTACATGGTGGTCTATCATTATAATCAGCTTGGACCATTACTGTTAATAAATTTTTCAAATTTTCAAAGTATTGATTCAAATAATTATCATTATTGTAAATATAATCACAATTTCTATAAAGTAATAAAATAAAAATAAATAGTTATATATTTTTAAATGTTTATAATAATAAATATATAGTTACTCTAAATGGATGATATCAAACAACTCTTTAATTATGACACCCATACTATAGACATCACTTTTTTCATTGTACTGGATATTGACATCGGATTCAATATCAACTTCTGGTGCCATATAATGTGTAGTACCGGCTCTGTTGGTATGTGATTGTGATTTGGATCCCAAACGATTGTGATCAGTGGCCAAACCAAAGTCACACAACTTTAAAAATCTATTATTAATTGGCTTATCATTGATGAGTATATTAGCCGGTTTGAGATCCCGATGAATAACTGGCGGATGTCTTGTATGCAGATATTCAACGCATTCGCATAACTCTAGCATCAGATGACTTGAAATGTAATACTCGATCGGATCCATGGGTTCTGTGGATTGTCGTTGAAATGTTTTTGACTTTATTTCGATAACATCTCTGAGACTTTGCGACATAATCTCCATTTGAATGTTGAGTCTATAGGACTGATCAAACCAGGCATCATAACAGCGGACCACAAATTTTGACTGAAGTTTAAACAATTGTTTGACTTCTCGTTGCAATTCATACTGAAATTCACCTTAAAATTAAAAAATAAATAAATAATAATTTTTGTTTATCTTATCTAAAATGTAAATTTAATATAATATATATATATACCATCGATAATCTTGATTGCAAACAATTTTTCCGATGTTTTATCCATGACTTTGTTAACAGTGCCAAAAACACCCGAACCCAATGTATTGATTATTTTATAATCAATGTGTGTATTTCTATCATAGCTAAACATTTAAAATTATAATTTATTAGCATGCTCATTTACTTTATTATTGATTAAATTTATTAATAGGTCTAATGTAATATTTTGAAAAATATTGAGCTAAGATATATAAAGTTTTTTTTTAAAAAATCCGATAAATCATTTTTTCTAATTTAAAAAAAAATAATTTTCAATATTCTATAAAATATGTGAAATGTTTTAATACATTATATTTTTAAATTTATTATTATTATTATTATTACCTTATTTTTGTATTAAATATACTACGATATATATTATCAGTTTGAAATAGTAGTAAATCTTGTAAATCTTCTAAATAATATTCAATTAATAGATAGTTAACAATATATTTATAATAACGATTGATAACATATGAAGTGTCGGGTCTATTATTATGTTGATCTTTATCTAAAGTCATTAGTGATATTAATTTAATAGTTTTTTCCATATAAATATTAATCAAACTATCTTTATATTGATTTAAACAATTGCTATAGAAAAGAGATAAAATACAAATATATAATTAATAATAATTTAAAAAATCAACAAATAAACAAATAAATAGCAAACTTTATATCTATGATATCAAACAGTTCTCTTAATATGACACCCAAACTATAGACATCACTTTTCTGATTGTACGACACCACTGGTCTATCATCACCGATCTCTTCAATGTTGACTTCCGGTGCCATATAGTGTTGAGTACCGGTTCTGCTGGTATGAAGTTGCGATTGATGGTTGTGTTCAGTGGCCAAACCAAAGTCACATAATTTTAAATATCTATTATTAATTGGCTTATCCATGACGAGAATGTTAGCCGGTTTGAGATCCCGATGAATGACTGGTGGTTGTCTTGTATGCAGATATTCGACGCATTCGCACAACTCTAGCATCAGATGACTTGAAATATAATACTCGATCGGATCCATTGGTTCATCAGATTTTCGGTCAAAGATTTCGTATTTTGATTTAATAAACTCTTTGAGATTTTTCATACAAAACTCCATTTGTATATAAAGTTTATAGTTATTCGGTGTTCGCGATATATCAGTAATATTGGACTCAAACCAGGCGTCATAATAGTTGACCACAAATTGTGACCGAAGTTTCAACAATTGTTTTACTTCCTCTTGTAATTCATAAATATTATTACCTATAAGTTAATAGTAATAAAAAAAAGTAGAAAATAAAATCAAAATATTATGAAATCTATAGTTTTTAATAACAAAAAAAATCTTTTATTATTTTGGTGTATCTTTTAAAAAAAAAAAATAAATTTAATGTTTAATTTTTTATATATAAAGGCATACCTTCAATAATTTTGATAGCAAACAATCTTTCGGAAACTTTATCGACAACTTTATTGACAGTACCGTAAGCTCCTGAACCCAATGTTGTTATTATTGAAAATTTATCATTATGTTTGTTTGGATAAATTTGAAAATTATCAATTTTATACAAATGCATATTTAATGTCTCCTTGGTCAATTGGTGTTCATTGGCAAATAGATCCATACTATTAGTATAGTCTAATGGATTGGTCATATCAAGTATGCTATAATAATAATAATTGTCACTTAATTGGATATATGGTCCACACAATTGTTGAACATTATTATTGATTACACTATTATTCCGGGTAATAGTGTTTAACAAATATAACTGTTTGCTATTTGTTAGGACATAAGTTAGTTCAAGTAAGTCACTGGATATCAAGTGACTGATTGTTTTAATGTCATCAATATGTGGTACTAAAAGTGGTTGAATAATGTGCTGATATTTTTGATGACCCAACTGTTCAAACAGATTTTGACCCCAACTGTATACGAGTCCATCGCCACCGTTGCCGCCGGTTATGGCAAACGAACAGAAATTGTAGCAATAAATCGATTTAATACAAGTATTTGGCGGAAACAGTACACGAGTGGGACATTCAATCCAAAACCAAACCTGTCCCGAACCGCACTGACCCATTCGGTTATAGCCCCAGCCATAGACAGTGCCATCGGTGCTGAGCGCCAGCGAATGATGATAACCGCACGCAATATCCGCAATACGTTTATCAGAGAGAACTGGGATGACATCGGGTGTAAACCAACTGTAATCGGGACTGGTATCTCTGCCCAATTGGAAAAACCAATTATAACCCCAACTGTAGACTTGTTGGTCGCCACCAGTTAAACACAATCCATAATCAAATCCAGTAACAAATTTGACTACACCTTTACCACACAATTCCTGAATCGGTTTCGGTTCGCTAACTCTATTATTATCACCCAATCCTAATATACCACTTTTATTACCACCCAATCCATAGACCTGATCATCGTTAGTGACAAACCAACAATTATTATCAATACAATGAAACAATTTGATCTCAAGTTTTGTTTGTTCAGTTATTTTTGAACACAATTTAAATTTATCCAATAATTCACACATTTTTTTGTTGTTACAAATAAAAATAAAACTAACCAAAAAAAACAAATTATTATTTATATTAAAATAAAAATTAATTAAAAACAAAATAATTAATAATTAATTGACAATACAGTATAAACATCAATGTCAGGTATCAATAGTTTAGTTTTGTATATTTTTGTTATCAAAAATATTATTACAAAAATATATATAATCTTAAATAAATATTAAGTAAACTAATCATTTTAACAATTTATAGTTGTTATTAGCAATTAATATCTATAATTTTTTTAATTAAAATTATTTGTATTAATTAAAATAAATAGTTTAACTTATTAAATGTTTAAATGTTAACAGTTTAACTCATTATAGTATGTAAATTATTTATTTACATTACTATTACTGTAAAATACCATTAGACGTGTAAATGTACTGTATCAAGGTTATTTGGAAATTTTATTTTTAAAAAATGTATCATGTTATAAAAGCCAACTAAAGTTATTTTTGTATTAATTGTCGATTATTTTTTTATAGTTAAATAAAAATAACTAAATTGTGTATTTAAAAAAAATTACTAAATATTAATATATCCTATACTATTAAATACAATTATCGCGGTTTTCCCGAAACCGACTGATTACCCGATAGCGGGACACCAAAAAAAAAATGCATAAAAATTCTACAATATTTATTCAATTTTAATTTAATTTTGCTTGCTAAAAATTTACGTGATTTTTGTCACGTAATAGACACTGATTTTATTAATATAAAAATAAACACAATATACAGTATAGTTAAAAATTTTTAACAAAAAAAAATGGCAAAGTTTTATACTGTAAAGTATTAATAGCTTAAAGTTTATATTATAAAATTTACCGTAAATTCAATGCTAACCCAAAAACCTGATGACATCTATTGTTTGAAAACTTGAAAGTTTTGAATTGAATTTTGTTTTTCTCCTCAAAAAAAACCACAAAAAATAAAACAGTTTCAGACTCTCTCTCTCTCTCTCTTTCTCCATGAGTACAGTTATCTAATAAACTTTTGTAGAACACTACTAACACACAGACAGTTAGTAATGTCAACAACAAAAAATTTGTTTTTCCTGTAAACACATTTGATTTGTTTATTGTATTTTTGTTTACAGTTTTGTTGTTTGTCTCACATATACTCTCTCTCTCTCTCTGTGTTATCCATCGATTCAATCAATCAATACATTCAACCAATTGTTTGCCTATTATTGTTGTCATAACAGTCAATGTGTTGTTTGTGTGCTAAGCGTTGTTCACAACAACAACAACAACGACATCGACAACAATAATATAGTATAATAACTATCATCATATCGGGTGTGAAAAACTAACTGTCCATTTGTCTGTCATATCGCTATTTACGGCCAAAATCGGGTCCAAAAAATTACATGAAGAACATGAAAACTATGGCCAGCGGTAGTGACGACTAGTGATAGCGCCGTAAACCAAATTGACGGACAACAACAACAACGACAATAACAACAACAACAACAACCATCACATCGATGGAAGAGTTACGCGAAGAGAACCGTCGATTGGCGGGTGAGTTGTGTTACGCTCGTCGATGTCTGGATCTGATGCACAACTATCGCAACTGTTTAGTGGCAATGGAGGCCAACTGCCGGTGCGATCGAAATCAATATCAAAAGTTTGTGTTCAGACTATTGGAAAAAGAGTACAGCACTGTCTTTACCGACGAAACCCGACACGCGATGATCAACAATGTGGTGACCGCTGCCCAAGTGGTTACCGGCGGCGCCAGCATTATGAACATTGATAAAAGTTTAGATATGTTTAACCATAAACTTGACATTAGGTCTCAAACCATGTCATCATCTGCTGATGATAACAGCCATAGATCTGCCATTGAGTCGACTATTCATTCATCGGCCGCCAACTGCAGTGCCGACAAATTAGCCATCGATAGTAGCCATAGACCATCTAGTGATCCATCTAATGATAGTAATCACCGACAGTCAGCCGCTTCCAGCAGTTATGACAGCAGACATAATAGTAGTAGTGTTTCGTTAAATCATAAAAAACATACCATTCCTGCCACTGACAGAAGTGCCAGACATAAGGACTCGATGAACGCAAATGAGTCGCCATCGTCTTCATCGTCGACGATGAAAAACAGTGGACAACAACAGCATATGGTGGCCATCACTGAAGATATGGTTGTCGTTAAAATGGACGAAGAATTGTCGGAGATATCGATCGTCAGCGACAATACCGACGACAGAGACAAACACCAAAAGTTAGGTCAACCGACTATCGGTGTCTCAAACAATCATCAATTGGTCGACACGTTTCAAGATTACTCGTTTGGCGCGTCGATAGCCTCAAGCAGTCACTATAATCACAGGTATTGTTTGATTTTTTATTATATTAATAAAACAATAGTAAAAAATCAACGATTAAAACTAACAATTGTCACTCAATTTAGCCAACAGTCCGACGACGGATACAACAACGCCAGTCACGACAAGTCGAGCTACAAATGTCTCAAAACGGGATGTAATTTAATATTTGAATTGAAGACCCAAATGGAGGACCACTTGGATCAAAGTCATCCTCATCTCAGGCCATACAAGTGCGACACCTGTAAGAAGACGTTCAAAAAGTCCAATCATTTGGCACGTCATAAGTGTCGCGGACTTAATGACGATGAAGTCGGCGTAGATCTCGAACATGTCAACAGCTGTCGCGTGTCAAACGGTGGCGGCTATCGATGCGATTGGCCCGACTGTGACCGCGTGGTCGCCACCAAACATAGTTTTATTAGTCACATTCGGACTCATAGGTAATTATGATTTTAAAAATTTATTTATAATTAACTGATTTAAATTAATTGTCTATTTTTTATTTGTTTGTTTTCGTGATAACTATCTGTGCTCTGTATGTGCATAAAGATGTGAATATCCATTTGCATGCGATATGTGTGAGAAGCGGTACACCAAAAAAGACTGTCTCATTCGTCACATCAAACTGTTTCACGCGTCGGCACAGATACACGACTGTCCGTTTGACGGTTGCGACTATCGTACGCCATATAATTGGTTGCTCAACAAGCATATGATGTCACGACATATGAACACCAAAAGCTTCAAGTGTGACCTACAGCCGTGTAAGTCCAGGTTTCATCTGAAGGGACAGTTAGTTCAGCATAAAATGCGTAAACATGGCATCAATGTTGGCGGTGGCGGCCCCCCGGGACCGCCTACTGGTGCCGGCGCTGCTGCTGGTCACCCAGTAGTCGTACCTGAGCCCATAGCTAACAATCCACGTTTTATGCCACATCCGTATTATTAAAAATATTTTTTTTAGTATATATCGCATATAAATCTATATTATATACAATATATATATATATATATATAAACTAAATAAATTATATTAAACCATTTAATTATATACATCCTACACAATACAGTTAAAAATATTTTGTTATTTAAATATTATATATATCCTAATTTAAACTGCATATTATTTTTAATGATATAAACATGCCTATTAAATTAAAAAATATATATTTAAATAAATTATGAACATTTAAATATTAACTTTATATATTTTTTTTWAAAAATGTACATTTTCTTATTACTATCATAATTTAATATTAAGAAAACTGTACCAACAGGTAAGTTTATTTAAATTTTTAGAATTTTATTTAAATAATAAAATTAATATTAGTTAAATTAAACTTAATTGAATTTTGTTAAAAATTTGTTGCCTGATATTTTTTTTTAAAAAATTATGTAAAATATTTAATTTTCGAAAAAAAATTATTAAATAAACAAATAGACTGTAAAATACATATCAAATTTATATTAAAGTACACAATAAATAAATATAACTATTAATAGACGTTATTTATGACATAATTAAAGTTTATTAATTTATATTAAATTATACATAAATTAATAGCCAATCATAGCGTTTGTTTTGAATTGTTTTCAACATTTAAAAAATTACTTCAAATCAATAATAAATAGTATTATTAGTATTAGTATTACATTAATGACAATCAATTGACAACTAATTTATTTATTTATATTATTATTAATAATTTTATTTTATTTTTTGTGACCAATATTTACCGTTTCAATCAATCGTTTCGATGGACACCGAACTACGCCAAGACAATGCCCGTCTATCGGCCGAACTGTCGTACGCCCGCCGATGTCTGCAACTGATGGTCAACTATCGCAGTTGTTTGTCGTCGATGGCCACCGCTTGTAGATGTCGGCCAAATCGCTACCAGAAGTTTGTCTACAGATTGCTTGAGAAAGAGTACAACAGTGTGTTCAGCGACGACAATGTCGACGGCGATAGCGATTGCGAATTGACGGCCAATACTAATGCCGTCAAAGAAGAAGATCTAACGATTGATGAGATGCCAGAGTTTGACGTTAAATGTGAAGACTTTTACGATAATGAAGGCAATGAAGATGTTGTTGTCGACGACGACGGAGGCATTGATTTTGACGATATAAGTGATTATAATGAAGACAACAATACTGTCGATTTGGGATGTGATGACAACAGTGATGATGAAGCAGAAGAAGACAATAACGAAGAGATAGAGAACAACAGTATATCATTGAATGAGAGAATCGGTGTCATTAAGATGGAGAACGTCTTACTTGAGGCTAATGTTACCGAAAGTGAGGACAGCGTTGAATGTGTTGCCCAACGTAGACGAAGACAACAATTGTATAGAAGAACTGTTGTGTCCGGTCGCGAGGCTAACGATAATTTTGTGGAAGACATTGAAATCACTCCGACATCATTGAAATGCCCGCAAACAGGTTGTCGTATGACGTTTGCTACAACCAATGCACTGGAAAGACATCTTCGCGGACGACATCCCAACGCCCGGCCATATGTGTGCGATAAATGTCGTAAAGACTTCAAACGATCTGCTAATTTAGATCAACACCGACGCACTCATATGACACCCGAAGCCAGTCCCGAGTCGGCACTTGCGCTGAGAAGATGTCGACTGCCCGACAACACTGGCTACAGATGCGATTGGCCCGACTGTACGCGTGTTGTCCACAATAGTCTCCGATTTATTGCACACATTTGGAAGCACAGGTACTTTTATAGTTACCCGTATTTATTGAATTATTTGCTATACGATAATTTTCACTACCGGTATTTAATTTAGGTCTAAATACCCGTTTGCTTGCAATGAATGCGACAAAATGTATACACAAAAGGAAAGCCTAACTCGACATCAAAAAGTGTGCCACAAGAGGACAGTCGACTTTGAGTTTGTTTGTCAATTCAGAGATTGTGACTTTCGGACGCCATTTCGTTATCTGTTGACCGCTCACTACGTACGACACGCTCGCCGACCGAAACAATATAAATGCAATGTCGGTGACTGTCAGATGGCATACAATTCACACAAAAATCTGGTTAAACATCGACAACAAGAGCACGGATTAGTACCATTTTCGCAGTGTAGTCAACGGCGACCGAAAACGGCTAAAATATCTCGATTTATGTCACAATTACCGATTGAACAGTTATAATGTGTTTTTTTGTCTAAAATATCTATATCTTGAAAAACTGATAAATTAATTAATGAGTTTATTTAAAATCAAGTTTTACTTTACCCTTTAATAATATTTAAAATAAGTTTTTATATACAATTACTGTTTATTTATTTATTTAATTTATTTATTTTCATAAAATTGACAACTTTTTCTATTTATTATTTATACTGTAGTTTCGGATTATTACTTATTTTATTTTTATTATAATTCTAGTATTATATTAAGGAATATAACTTTATTTAACAAATTATTTAGACAAATCACAAGAATATATTTTATTTGATATATAAATTAGTTTATTTAATAATAAGTTATCAAATACTTAACTAACACTTTTTTATTGCACCGTAATTTTTTTCAATATAAAACTAATATTATTTTTTTTTTTTTAAAATATTTTGCAAAACGCTTAACTAATACATTAAACATATGATTATATCTATATATTATTATTATTTACTATAGAGATAAAATAAATTATAATTGGTAATTTTTGTAAAATATAAAAAAAACATAATTCATATACATAATTTAAGTAAACTTATTAAAAAAATTTTTAAATATAAGTTTGAATAACTGGAAAACATATTATATTAAAAGTAAAGTATATCTATAAAAGTAAAAATCAATATACCGCTAATTTAAAAATGATGTATATTTTACTCTAATTAATTAAATTAAATAATTAAATAAAAATAAAATTGCTACCAGACTTATAAATAGTAAATACCATTTTTTTTGTATTGATTGTATAATAAATGGCTTTTTTATTGTTTGTATAAACATTTAATGAAAGTATTTAATAATCATAACATCTTAGTATATATATATATACTAATATTTATTAATAGTAAAACTAAAAAAATATTTAAAATAATTATTAAACAGTAATATACTTGAATCGTAATCTTTATAAATGCGATATACAGTATATTTATCAACCAATAAATCTATTAAATCTTTAAAAATCTTTTAAAATAGTTTTTAGTTTTTGTCACATTTTTCTGGTCAATCCATCAAAAAAAATGATAAAAATTAGTGTAATAATCGATAATTGTCTATAAGAAGTCTTACATAGAAATACATGCTTTAGTTTATTGATTCAATCATTAAAAGTTTAGTACAATAATTATAAATTTATAAATACAAAAAATATATATATATACACCGTATATATATATATAATGTTTATATTTCATAAAATCTTATAATACAACAACAAAAGTTTCAAGGACTCGCTTGATTGACACAATAAGTTTATGTATGTAAAAAACTAATCGTTATAACAGCAGCTCATGGATGCGGTGCCAAAAATATACATATTATATACAGTATATATATATATATTTATATATATAATAGTAGTGATATAAATAAATATACAAATATTGTAATTATTCATATTCAACAAATTATGATTATATATATATCACAATATATAAGTATATTAAATGAATAGATTGTATATACTGTAATAATAAGATTAATTCGTAAACATCATAATTACAATTATTAATAATTTAATTTAATTTAATAATTTATATATTTTATAAATATGATAGTATCATAATTATTCAATAAAAATTATTAAAAAACAATTATAATTTGTTTGTTTTTTTCAAACTTATTAATACATAATATATTTATATATATATATATATATATATATATATATTATATACAGTATATTAGATAAAAATGATATGATATTTTAATATCTATTAACTGGTTTATTATGTGATGGATAATTATGATTAGTTGATGACGATGTATGATAATAGTAAGTAGCATTAGTATTATTATCAGTCGGTATGGTTGTGCTCCGGTAGCTCATTCCCAATATGTTCATCTGGTCGGCAGTAAGCGGACACGATATGGTCTGATCTATCATTTGACGTTTGCGTTTGTAGGCCCAATAGCCCAGAAACAGAAACAATAGCAACAGTCCAACCAGTATGACAACCAAGACTAGTACCAGAAAACCAGTCATCGATGAGATGATAAATATCGCCAAAATTGTCACAATTGCTATTAAAAGACCTAAAAATATACAATATATATATATATATATAATACTTTAAATACTGTATATTGTGTAAGAAAATTGTGTGATATTTTTGTTTTTGTTTGACAAATAGTTTTTTGTTTTGTTGCTGTAATTATTCAACAGAATATTCTGATTATTCAGCAATTGTTTTAATGTTTTTCAAATAAATAGTTTGTTGTTATTTTTGGTACAATTTTAAAAAAAAAWATATATAGTAATGTTATTTTGACATAAATTTGGATATACGGTTTAACCTAAAATTATGATATTTTAATTTTTCATATTTGTTTGTTTATTTGTTATTAGTTGCAATTGGTTTTTAATTGAGACATCAGCTAACAGTTATGACATCAATAACAACAACAACAAAAAAGTTATCATAACTTACCCGATAGTAACTCAATGCCGGCGTATCTGTCCTCTAGTTTTTGGCGCACTGATGGGGAACGGATAAAATGTTGGGCAATCATTGTGTATATTATATATATATACTAATAAAACAACCAAAAAATTTATTTATTTTTAAAAAAAACAGTTATATATAAAATATATTTTCAAGTTTTTAAATTTATCAAACAGTTATCGTTTGTATACATTCTTGAAATTTATATATAAATTTTTGTTATATTAATAATAAGAAATAATACTGAAATATAAAATCCAGACATATATTCATGAAATTCAGTGTTAAAATAAAAACACACATTCAGTATATTTATTTTTGAATGTCATTAAAAATAGACATTAAATTTTATTTGATGTCTACCACCAATCAGGTGATTGAAGTTTTTATTTTTGAAAGAAATTATCACAAAACTTAAACATAACTTGAAAACTAAAACATTATATTTAAAACAATTAATATAATTTAATGTATAATTTTTCTTTTCTGAAAACATGTACACAACTATTAAAATGTTTAATTTTAAACACATTAAGAATATTCAGTTCATATATATATATATATATATATATATATATATATATATTTATGCACTTTTAACGACTCATTAGTTACTAAAATACCATATATTATAACACAAAATATAATTCATTATAAACATTAAACAGATGTAATATATAATATATATGAAAAAAATTATTTTATTTGAAATTTAAATAATACAAAAATAGATACAATCAAACAAAATAAGTTTCAATTATTAAATTATTAGAAACAATAAAATATATAAATTATGTTTTAATAAATGTTCAAAAATTTCAAAATCATTGATAAACTTATCGTCAAAGAGGTGTGACATCGACTGCGCTCTCAATCGGAGTTTGAATTTGTATTCAAATACTATTTTTAAGAGAAATGGTTTTGAAATCCGTCACAAAAACAATGTTTATTATTAGACACTGTTTTTATTGAAGTCTTAGAGCAATATTTAGGATATAATGTATAGTAAAATGTAATGTATTAGCAACTCATGACTGAAAATAATATTTCAATGTAAATATTTATTACTAACTTTTCTCTCTCTCTCTCTCTCTCTCTTACTCTCACTTTTCTCAGTCGCAAAAAAACTTTATTAACAAATTATAAATTGTTATTATGTAATCAATTGATGATAAAAATTAATATTAATATTATTATTATGTTATATTAAGTGAACGAAAAAAATAATAAAAATATAAAATGCTTGAATATTTTTATTAAAATAAATACATTTATTAATTGTCTTAATTGAAGTATTGATAGATAATGATTAATAAATAAATAAATTAAATATGCGGATTGATTACATAATAATGAAGTATTTAAATGAATTGAATTAATTTTTTCTAAAAAAATACAAACAGTTTTAAAGAAATTTTTAAAAATAAGACAATCGTTTTATAAAAAATTTGGTCAAAATATATTTGTTAAGTCAATTGTAGGTTAATTTCAATACACTTTCAATGTGTGGTAAAATTGAATTCTCGACCAAAAATTTCGGCATTTATATGACCTTTAATTTTGATCCAATGAAACCAACCGTTGATGGAATCAGTTGTAGTATTAATGGTTTCATCAACTACTCTACCGGTGCCAGTGTTAGCCAAATACTCAAATGACTGTTTCAGTAAATCATTTGTCTCTTTTCGTAACATATCAACAGCTGTTGTCATGTCTTTAAGTATCATTTGCTTACACTTTGGATCAAATTGTTTAGCAAACAAAGTATTTTCAGTGATTGACTGAATTTTAGCCAATTCTTTGTGTCCGTTGGATATGATTTCATTAATAGTCTTAAGAATCTTGTTTTTTGCTAATTTCTCCGAAACAATAACCGTATCAAACAATATATGATTAATTTTAGAACTCAAATCAATATTAATTCTTATAATTAGCGTTTTGATGTCATCAAGTGTTTTGTTACAGTTGTTGTTTGTATTGCTTTGTATTTCAGACACCGAAAGTTTACCACTTTTGTCGCCAATTTCAGCAAAAATAACAATAATATGCAAAAATGTTATTAAAAACATAATAAAAATACAATAAATCAAATGGCAATACATTATTGAAAAACGTTTAAAATTAATTTAAGTTTAAACCACTAAACACTTTACAAATTCATATGACTATAAAATGATTGTTAATTTATATGTTGTTTATCTATTTATATATTTTTAAAAAGTTATATTTTTCTATACTTTTATAATACTTACGTTTGATTATTTACTTTTGGTGTTAAATTATTTGCCAAAACTAAGGAATATTCCTTATTATAATTGACATCAATATTATTATTGACTAGTTTTGACATTTTATCGCCAGTGGTTTGTATAATATTTACTGAATTATCTAAAATATCTAATAGTCATAAATAAAAAAAATTATTTTCAATTTTATATAATTTGTTTATAAACTTTAAATTTGATTAATACTTACCAATTGGATGACATTTAATTTCCATAAAAACAAACATAATTATCTCAACTATCACTAAAATTTTCATAACTGATTGATTATATTTCAATTAAATTTATGATAAACTACTAGAAATTTTATTTAAATATAACTTTTATTTTGAATTTTTTTTACTTTTAAGTGACATTTAAACAAAAACTAATTATTAATTTTATTTTCACTGTCTTTTTAAATAATCTGAAGTTATTTGTTTTAGTTATTTACTATTTATATGTACAGTATATTCATTAATCTGATATATTTTTAATCTTTAACCCGGAATTAAAATATTTTTAAACTTAAAGTAAATCTTCAATAAGTGTTGGCAAAGACAAAGTGTATGTATAATACAAAGCATATTATACAGTATAATACAATACAATATAAAATACATTACAATACTGTATTAGTCAAATTTGAAAATCTTGCATTTTTCCAACCCTGGTAATTATTATAATATATAGGTATTTATAATAATACAGTATATTAATATAAATAAAATTTATACAATATAAGTTGTAATTTACAACATTAGCTATATTTTACAAAAATAAAATACAATTTATTAGTATATAAGTCATGAGTTATTAATTAAATTTAATATTATTTTTTTGAATCGAATTTTTAGTCATAATTTTATAACATTATTAACAAATTGATAGTTTAATTAATGTTTATATTTAAGCAAATAATTAATATAATAAAATGAATATTTTTAATTATTTTTTTGTATATTTATATTAGTAAAATTTATTTTCTTTAACTAGTAATAACATAATGAAAATCAAAAACTATTATATAATAAGGTATTTGAATTATTAAACTAAAATATTTTTGTTAACTAATCATTTAAGTAACAATTATATAGAAATAAGTTATCAAGAAATTCTTTAATTTTAAAAGTCATTTATTTTTATTTTTTATATAACATTTTTTAATTTAGTTTAAAAATGATTTTTTTAAATTTGAACATTTAGTTTTTATAAAAGTTATGTTAATGTTATAGTGAAATATGTAAGTGCTATAAAAATTAATTTTAAATAAAATATTATAACTAATTTGATTCATATATATATATAATTTAAATTTAATAGTTTCCACTGCAAATATGTCTATACGATTAGCTATATTAGTGATGACAACACTTATATTTGTTATTAACAATAATTTTTGTCAGATTAATGGTATTTATAGTAAATTTTAAAAAATAAATCTTAAAATAATATCTTTTTTTTATCTTTTAACTATAATTTTTGAGTTTTATTTTGTTTGTTAAATTAGCAAACAGTAAAATTATAACAACATTAATATGCAATGATACCGAAACCAATATGATCAAGGTAGAGTATGTTATAATTTTAATATTGTTGTATTATTTAAAAAATAATTAATTATATTTTCAAATTAGACCCTAACTTGCAAATGGATTATCAATGTTACGGATATTGTAACGACTACTACATTACCGACAACTACTTTGCCAAATATGTATCCACAAGATGTCGGTCATCGATGTCCGCCAACACCAGTAAACGGATGTAACGGACCTAAAGATTGTCTGTATGTCTTTCCCGGCGATTGTACTAAATATTATCAGTGCAATGACGGAGGACAGGCATTCATAATGAACTGTCCGATTGGTACCGAATGGAGTGATAGGTCTAAAATTTGTGACTTTCCATACTATGCTAACTGTTCATACAATTAAATATTTATTATATTAATTATGTTAGTAATTATTATTATTATGCAATTTACAATAAAATTTAATAGTGTTTTAATAGAATAAAATATTAAAATAATTATTAATAATAAATTATATTATTTTGTTTCAAATTTGCAAAATAACTAAAACATCTAAAAAATAAATATAATTAATAAAATTATATTAAATACTGGATAAAAAATACATTATAGAAATGATACCGTTTTATAATACGAAACTCATTTAATCTATTAAAAACACAAATTAAATACTATTTAATGAAATATTATTTAAGGAAAATCATTATGATTTAGAAAATTACAATAATATACAGTATAATAAATACTAACAAATATAAAGATAATAATTTACAAAAAATTACTTAATTAAACAATTTTTTTTAAAAAACCATTTTTAAAAGTATTTTTATGATGAAGTGGTTTCTGAGTTCATATCGGAACCGGTAGTCCGGAATTTATCCAAACCAAATATACGCCATATTTCGTTACGAAAGTCATGATTATACCAACAGATAAGGATTGGATTAACACAAAGACTGCCGAAATAGAAGAAACCGATAAACAGGAACTTATAGATGGATGCGCTCTCCTCTCGGCGACAGTCTTCGCGCGGATCAACCATTTTTATGAATGTTTCGTAAAATATAAACAAATAGTAGGGTGTAGTGACCGTCACATACCAGATGACTATACCCAACAACATATCAATAGTTCGCCGTTTGTTTTTTATCAGTGTTTCCGCTCGTCGAGCGATAACAGTATTGCCCACTAGTTGTCGATCTCTTATTTTTTGGATAACCCGATAGTATAGATAAGCGGTTGTTATTAAAGTGCCGACACAACACACTGAAAACACTACCGCATAGTTATAGCGTTTTTCGAAAAATGTAATATCAGTGTTGAACAGTACTCGGCACCGGTAGATGAGGTTTGTACCGAAAAATATTATGTTCTGGCGATTAATGTTATTAAATAGCGATAACCCGATGGCCAGCGACCAGATGCTGACAATCCATTGCCGTATTCGTAGCTCCGAACTCATTGGTCGATATATTTTGCGGTACCGTTCATAGGCAATGGCTATCATCGAAAAGGCTGACACATACAGTGTCGAGTCGTTTACTGATATAAGTACTCCGCACCCGTAGGCTAAAAATACTGGCGACCTATTGACTAAATATACGTTACATATAATGCTACGACTGATGGCCAGTACACTGAATACTAACTCAGCGACGATCTGATTGATTATCAATTGATATGTTGTAGTTTTTAGGCCTTTTTTGACAATCATATTCAATATGACTGTATTGAATAGTATGGCCATCAGGAAGATTACTATTGAAAATGTATAGCACATCCATTCCATTATTGGATATCCCGATACCGGTTTCCCAGACATTATTAAATATGTTTTAATTAATTTTTTAAATATTTCAATAAAAATTTTTTAAATAAGAATATTTTTTAATTAACATTTAAAATATGTAATAAAACTTAGTATTTGTTAGAAAAAACTTGGAATTATTCAATAGTTATACAATAATTGTGTTACTACTTATAATTGTTAAATTAAAATAATTTTGTTTGAATAAAAAAATAGTAGTAAATAACAATTTATTATAAAAAACAAGTTTAGAAATTGCAGTAATCTACCGGGGCTAAATAAATTATTACATCCTATTTAAACGGAAAACTATCTATAGTTTTATAGTTTGAAAAAAATGCTTACAATTTTTTTTTGAATCAATATTTGATAAATATTGTATATTATTTATTTCAATATTTATCAATACAAATTATTTTAAATTATTTTTATATACAATTATTTTTTTGCATCAGTACTAATGTAATTTATTAACATTTTATTTATCAATAGTTAAATTTAATACAGTTATATCTATTGATATTAATAAAATTTAATTATTTAAAAAAATAAATAAATACTATTTACAATATAATATATCTATTTTGAAAACATTAGTTACTTATAGTTGTGGCTACACTACTATCCGACATAACTGAGTTGCGTTTTTTAGGCAATAGTTTGTCAAAATCAAACACAACTTTACTATTTTCTGTGTCCTTATTGGCCGCAAACCTCCACTTCCCGATCTTATAGATGATAATGAATAGTGTGAGCACTACTACTGTCGAGACCAGTCCTATGAACACTGCCTTATCATAACAGGTTCGGGTCAACGCCGACACCCATATCAAACTTATTGTAAATAATAAAACTATTTGATATATTTTTTTGAAGGGGATATATACAAATTAATAGACAATTAATAATATTTATTATAATTAGTTTTGTTTTTTAAAAGTTTTAAATGCAAAATATAATTATTAACAATAGATAGTGTTTGTACTTAAATCTTATATTTCAAGTTATTAAATAATTAATACCTGTATATACCGTACAGTACTAAATAAATATTGAACTATTTTAATTAACTAAAAATACAAATTTCTATTACAATTATGCTAAATAATACCTTATGTACTATACATTATACTGTAGATTTGACTATAAAGTAAATTAACTTATCTATTATACAATATATAAAACATATATGAATTAACTGTACAGTAAAAACTTGTTTATCAAATATAATAACATTGAACTAAATATTTTCATATTTCTTAATTTTTATTTATAAATGTTTTTATAAGTTATTTTCATTAATAATCGTTACTTTCAAATATTTTCTATCGATATTACACTGTATTAACTATTTGACTACTAATATTATTTTCATTATAATTATACAGTATTAGTAATTTAATATTAACAAATTAATAATATACTCACACATCCAGTCAAACACTTTGATTAGTTTTATTTTATAGTCGCTGTCATCCCTTTCCTCTGAGGCCAGTGTCACCAAAATCTGCGGTCCGGACACGCGATGCATTTAATTATAATTTTTTTAAAAAAATATCTGTTTATAACTTTATAATATCAAAATCCAACAAAATTTTTGTCAATAAAAATAAATTATTAACAATTACACACTATTTATATACAAATGGTTATCAAATCAATGAACGAATAATTTTTTATTCATATATTTAAAATAACAGAATATTCTTTATATATTGTTTCCATGGAAGTCATTAGCAAAATGCTAATTATTGTATTTTTTATTAATTTTATTAGCAATCAATAATATCTTATACTCATTCACTTACCCACTCACTCACTCTTTCACAAAATCACACACAATATCGTACTTGTATTAGTGTTATTTATACAGTATATATATAGTATATACACTGTATATAAACTATTCATATCTAATTATCAAAATAACATTAATCATTACTCTATAGATTATAATTATTACAAAAACGTGAATATTGGAGTATATTATTTTTATAATGAATTATAATATTAAATTATTAGACCACATCAACAAATAACAAAAATAACATGAAATATGATTTAATATTAATTAAAATTATTACAGTATATATATATATATATATATTGTACACGAGATATCTTTTATAAACTACAAAAATATTTTATAAATATTAAAATAAGAAAAATAATAATATTCAAAACAAAAAAACACTGCAATTTTTATGACAAAATTGATTTTTATATATAATATAATAAAATGTTTTTTTTAATATAAAAATCAAAATTATGTTAATGAATGACACCTTTGATCAATAGGACTACAGAAACGGGTGCAACACTCAAAAGAGGCCGAACACTTGTACGATACCTTAAAACAGGGCATTATCTCTATATCATTTACACCGTAATTAAAAATATCTGTTTCATCCGGTACTGCGATTTCATTGATCGCAGATAGTGGCGGCCATTCACGGCATACACCGATCGACTGATGGATCAGTGGTTGACAATAGCCATCAGTGCAACAATGTATATACGGTCGACACCATTGGTCTAAGTTTAATACATTGATTATGACTTAAGTAAAAATAAATATAAGTAAAAGTTTGATATGACTGACCTAATTGACGGCATTGTTGATAAAATTCATAATCATTATTATTATTGTCATCAAAATTTATATTATTATTATTATTGGTATTATCATAATAGTCATCGTAAACATAATTGTATGAATGAATTAAATAGTTTTTATTAAACATTATTAGTATTATTAATTGTACTAATAATAGTCTATAAATAAGACTATATAAAAATAATAATACTACTAATCTTGTTTTCAATAACATTACTTTTTTAATAATAAAAATTATTTTAATTAAAACAAATATTTTTTTTAATATGTTTAACTTTTAATTAAAAAATAGTTAATATAAAATTAACTATTAATATACAAATATGTTTTATAATTAACAAAAAAAATCATTACAGTATATGATATATAATATACTGTAAAATTTAAATTTTAAATGTAATTAATATTGATTACTATAAATATATTTATATTATGATGTCTATAATGAAGTGGTTTCATCCGTAATATTGTCAGCACCGGTAGATTGTAAGACAGTTTGTAAACCAAATTTACGACATATCTCGTTACGAAAGTCATGATTATACCAACAGATGATGAATGGATTAACACAAAGACTGCCGAAGTAGAAGAAACCAAGAAATATGAACTTATAGATGGATGCGCTCTCCTCTCGGCGACAGTCTTCGCGCGGATCAACCTTTCGGATGAATGTCTCATTAAAGATAAACAAATAGTAAGGTGTAGTGACTATTGAATACATGATAACTATAGCCAACAACATATCAATGGTTCGCCGTTTGTTTTTTATCAGTGTCTCCGCTCGTCGAGCCATAACAGTATTGCCCACTAATTGTCGGTCTCTTACCTTTTGGATGACCCGGTAGTATAGGTAAGCGATTGTTACTAAAGTGATGACACAACACACCGAAAACACTACCGCATAGTTATAACGTTTTCGGAAAAATGTAATATCAGTGTCAAACAATACTTGGCACCGGTAGATGACATGTTTGTTAAAAAATATCATGTTTTGTCGGTTAATGTTATTAAATAGTGATAATCCAATGGCCAGCAACCAGATGCCGGCAATCCATTGTTGTAATTGTAGTTCAGAACTCATTGGTCGATATATTTTGCGGTATCGTTCATAGGCTATGACCAGCATCGAGAAACCGGACACATATAGTGTCGAGTCGTTTACCGATATGAGTGTTCCGCAACTGTAGCCTAAAAATACTGGCAAATCTTTTATCAAAAACCCGTTACAAATAACACTGCGACTGATGGCCAGTACGCTGAACACTATCTCAGAGACGGTCTGATTGATTATCAATCGATATGTTGTAGATTTTAGGCCTTTTTTGACAATCATTTTTATAATTACTCCATTGAATAGTATAGCCATCAGAAAGATTATTGTAAAGAATATATAGCACAGCCATTCCTGTATTGGATAACCCGATACCGGTTCCCCAGACATTAATTTACAATATTTAACTTATACTTAAATATTATAATATTTTAGTTTTAAAAAAAATCACAGAATTAAATATTACTCTAATTACATGACATCATTAGATTTAAAATTTAATATATTTTTTTAATATTCAATATTCTATACAATTAAAGTATAAAAATTATTTTTTTTTGATAAATGTTTTTTAATTTTTATAATGAGACTTAAATTTATAAATAATAAATAAACAAATTTTAAAACAAATTTAGATAATTTATTGCATCCTATTTTAAACGGATAAACACCTTATTTGGAAAACATTTTATTTTTGGAACTAATATTTTTTGATTATTTAAAATAAACTTAATTAAAATAAAATTAATGTATTTTTAATAAATAATTATCTAATTGCAAAGTGTATTTAAATTGCTTAAATTTTTACAATATTTGTAAATATTTCTTAAAGTAAAATTATATTTAAAAAATATTTTTCCAATATATCATATTATTTAAAATATTAATAATACAATAATTTGCAAAACTATTTTTAAGATACAAAACATAAAAGTGATGTTATTTACAAAAGTAAAGTTATATTTAGTTTACAATATTGCATAAATAAACAATAAATTACAATTAAAACATAAATTCATTATTTTATTTCATTGGTATTTTTGTCAAATCATATATTGTATATTGATATAAAATATCCATGAAATCTAATTATTAATGTCATGTTATTTAGCATCAATTGATTTATTAATTAAATTACATATCATTATCATTATTAATGTATTATATATTAATATATATATATATATTAAATCTGAAATATAAAATATAAGTCAAATAAAAGTCAATAAAGGAATAGTTTTAATCTAAATTTAATAATTATAGATATAACTTAAAAATATATAATTAAAAAAATAATATAAATATTTTGTTAAAAATATGTTTCAATATAGATTATTACTATTATCAATACTTGTATTAATTTTTAAATATAATTTGTGCCAAAATACAGGTATATTTTATATATTAAAAAAATTCTTTATATATCTATCTAATCTATATTATAAAAAAATATTTTTTAACTATTATTTTTTGTTGTAGCAAACACTACAAGTGCAATAACAACAACAACACAATCGGCAACAAATGTGACCCAGGTATGCAAAAAAAAATTTTGGACCCATAATTGACATTTAGGTTTATAAATATTTTTTTTCATATAATTAGAATATTACAGAATCGACGACTACTAGTGTCCCGGATGTCAGTACTACTCAAATAGCCGACAATTCATCGGTAACGACAACAACGACAGAAACAACTGTCACTTCAAATACAACATTAAATGAAACAACAGGTATGACCACAGAATTATCAACAACAATGCCGACAACAACATCAATGAACAGTACTGAGACAACAACTAACACAACGATACCAACAACAACATCAACAACAACAGTCACAGAGATGACCACTACTGAGGGAACAAATACAATAACAAACACAACACAGTCAACAGCAAATATAACACAACCGATGACAACCATTACTGCTACCGAAACCACAACTACACAGTCAAACACGACATCACCTGAAACAACAACAACAATAACATCGATAACAACTTCTAATATGACTTCATCCACAAGTTCTTCCTCAACATCAACTGAGACACCAACTGTTGCTTCAACTCCAAATAACTCATCATCTGGACAGTTGGTATTATCAACAACAGAGTCCACAACAGAGTCCACAACAGAGTCCACAACAGAGCCCACAACAGTGTCCACAACAGAGTCCACAACAATCTCCAATCTGACCACAACTGAGACATCAGCAAACACAGAGTCTATCATTACTAGCACACCAACAACACTATCATCGGAAACATCTGTTACAACTACTAACACCATATCATCTACTGAGCCTACAATTACTACTACCCCCAGTGTCACAACAAACACGGCCACTCCTACAAGCGGTATAACCAACATGTATGCCCAGGATGTCGATCACAAGTGTCCGACAGTTGTAAACGGATGCGACGGACCAAAAGCCTGTCTCTATGCCTTTCCCGGCAATTGTACCAAATTTTTTCATTGCAATGACGGCGGACAGGCATTCATATTGAACTGTCCACTTGGCACCCAATGGGATGATCAAAATAAAATATGTGACTTTCCACAAAATGCTAACTGTTCACAATAAAATAGATAACAAATTTATCTTTAAAAATATCTGTGTACCTAATTGTTAGTTATTATTAAAACTATTAAAAAATCCTAACATTTAATTATATTAAATATACACTATTTATTAGTATATTTTAATAAGAAAATAACATTACACTACTATTATTTGAACTATTAATACAATAATTGTATATTTAATTAAAAATAGTAGTTAATAGCAGTTTTTAAAAATGTTATTTTCACATTACTACTAGATTTATTTAATTATTAAAAACTAAATTTTAAATAATAAATGAAAATATTATTAATCGTGTTATTTTACCCTGATCTATTTATTATTTCAATGTATACAAATATAATAACAGCTATAATAAATAGAAAGTTGATATTTATTTAATATTAGTAAAAGTAATGTTGTTTTTATTAATAATGATATTTAATTGTATTATAATATTTTTAGTATCATCATTATTTTTAAGTATTTAATAAAATTAATTAATGATTATTATGTTTATAATAAAAAATAATTTATTAATGTTTATTATAGTATAATTATTTAAAAACACACAAAAATTGTTATATCATTATTTGTAATTAATATTTATAACAATTAAATAATTGACAGTTAATTTCCTTCAAAATACAATAATAACATTGAAAGTTGTGTTCAAATATTTTTATTAAATATCAATTATAAGTCACAAAAAAATATTCAAACAAATAATAATAATATTTAAACAAAAATGTAATATAAATAAGTACTGTATTTATTTAATGTCTAATAATATTTTCTTATAAAAAACAATAATTATAATTTAAATAGTTTACTACAAAAAAAAGATAAAATAGTTAATGTAATTAAGACTAATACTTTTGAAATAATTATAAAATTAGTTAAAAGTTATGTTTTTATGATTGAATTTATAACAAATCTTTAAATTGTAAATAAAATCAAATTAAAACAAATAATATTTTTTAAAAAATAAAATACAATGTAATGCAATATATACAGAGAGTCTTGTGTAAAGTCAAACTTTTTTAAATAATTTTTATTTGTAGTATTTTAAAATAAGTATTAATATAAAACATTATCATTGAAAATATCTTTTAATTATTTTAAATTATATTTCAATTAAAACAGTTAACATTAGTGTATTATTTAAATGCAATTTATAAGTTAAACAAAATTAATTTACTTATATATTTTTAAAAATTACATAATACTTAAAATATTCTGTTATTATAAACAAATCTGTTATATATTTTACAGTATAGAAATTAGAAATAATATATTTATTTTTTAAAATTTAATAACATTTTAATATTTTTTTACATAAACTGTATACACTATGTATATAATTTTTTTTTGTTAAATCATTTATAATCGTATTGTTAACTATATGTATATAATTTAATTAACAAGTCATGTTATATCTTTTATCAAATTATAAATTAGTAAAAAACATCATTATTTAATATTACTTTCAATAAATTTGTTTTTATATATTATATATGTAATACTTTTAAAGAATAAAATAATTCAAGAGTAATATTTATTAAAAAAAATTATTAGTTTTTGTAAATTAAAACATTATATCTAATCTAATAATTATAAAAAAATATTTTATAATAAAATAGCCTATAATAATGTTTAAAATATTAGTAATTACTATAATATTTATTAATAATTGTTTGTGTCAAACAGGTATTTTTTGAAAATTATTTTTAAAAAATATATTCATATAAATAATGTTATAAACTAATTGAAATCTTTAATTAGCAAACACTACAATTATAACAACAACAACTGGGCTAACGACAAACAATGATACCGAATCCAATGTGACCCAGGTATGCTAAATTATGGTCAATATTAAAGTTTACATTAGTTGCACACAAAAAAATATTTGCTTATAATTAGAGTACTACTACTACTACTACCGAATCGACTGCAAATGTTACGGATGTCAACACCACTACTACCATAGTTATCGGTGCCGACAATTCATCAGTGAGGACGACAACGACAACACCATTGATAACTCAGACAACATTGACATCAATGATCAGCAATACCAACACAACTGACTCTATACTTACGATTACCAATTTTACTTCACTTACAAACACGACATTATCATCATCAGTGAACACTGAGATGATTACCACTGAGATAACCAATACATCATCCATACCATCAACAACATCACCACAATTAGCAAATACAGTACAATCAGTTAACTGGATTAGTTGGGTGATTGAACAGTTACAAAATATTATCAATGAATTGTCTAAACTTGAGAGTAGTGGTACAGTTGGCACAACCAAATTGAATACAACATCATTGGAAACAATAATAGTAATCAATAGTACGAATACAATAATCACATCAAATAATACAACAAACCATTTGTTAGAAAGTCAAACATCACTACCATTGATGACGACAATCATAAACATAACCAACAAAACTACAACAACTAATTCCACACCAAATACGACATCACCACAAATACCAATAACTACTATCCCATCGACTGAGACAACAATACCACGTAACAGCTCATCCATCGAAGAGTTAGCATTATTGACAATTGAGTCAACAATCACTACACCCAGTGCTTCAACAAACACTGCCATCACTTTGACCACAACAAACACGACTACATCTTCGACATCATCCTCACTGTCTGAGTTTGTCGCCGAAAATAGTAGTGTCATAGCATTGCCAATTCGACCCGTTGGCTATCCTCAAGTTATGGGCTATAAGTGCCCGCCAGCGATAAATGGATGCATCGGACCGAAAGATTGTCTCTATAGCTATCCGAGTGATTGTACAAAATTTTATCAGTGCTCTGCAGGTGGACAGGCATTTATAATGAACTGTCCCATTGGCACCAAATGGAATGACCATGCTAAGATATGTGACTTTCCATACAATGTTCACTGTTTACAATAAAACAAAAATATGTTTGTTCATGGAATATTTATTTGTCAAAATTTACCCAGGTGACAAAGCTATATACAGTAATACTAATACTAATAATAATATAATCTATTATGTAAATTATATTGCTAATTTTTGTGTGTGTGTAATTTCCATGATTATATGTTCAAATATATACAATATATTACAATAACTTTTTAAATATAAAAAACTTTTAGCATAACAAATACTGTAAATACAGTATTAAATAAAGTATTTAATATCATTATTTTACAGTATTTATACAGTATTGTATTGCGGTTTATTTAAACATTATAATTAATGTTATAAATTTAATATAACTTACAATTATATCAATATATATACTGTATATTAAATAAATTTTATTATTTACTTAACAAATGTTGTATTTTATTATAATTTATTATATCATTACTATCATATTGTTATTATTATTATTACTGTAAAGTATTATAGTACCTTTAGTATGCTACTAATAAACTTTTATTTACTAATAAATAATGAAAATGTTTATTATTTTTAAATGTTTAACATAATTTTTTATTTGTATAAAATAATGTATTCGTCTAAATGAGTTTAATAGTACAAAAATTGTTATATCATTATAACAATAAATAAGAGTTTGAYTTTTTTAAAAAAAGTAATACTATATTGAAAACAACATTGAAATTTGCGTCAAACATTTTGCTATTTTATTTATTTTTTAAAAATAAATATTAATATAATAAAGTAAAAGTGAAAAAAATGTAAATACTTACTGCCATATGTAACAAAAAAATTAAAAAATGTATTTTACTGATAGTCTAATAATATCGATGATAAATGATTCAATGAATTTTATTATTCAAATATAATTTACCAGAAATATAACATCGATATGATATGATTGATATATATATATATATATATATATATAATGTATATACAAATATAGTTTATTTATTAGTTAATTTAGATAAAATATCTAGATGATAAACAAAATAACAAATAAATAATTGTTTACTAATGAACTTAATTTAGTTTATTTAGTATAAAAGTTTATACTTTAGTCTATTGTACTGTATATTAAATAGAAAACTTAATAATAATAATAATAATAATAATAATAAATATACTACAAAATATATTTCATTCAAATAATATATTTACTGGATATATTTTTTGTATTTAAATAATATTTACAATTAATTTTGAAATAAATATTATTGTAAATAATAATATTTTGCAAAAAAAACAAGATATACATTAGTATTATATAATTGTTTCTATTATTTTATTATAATTTTTATAAGTTTGATTGATTTTTTTTATTAACAATATTTAAATCAGCATAAATACTAAATATCTAGAAAATCATAGTTGTAGGGGACAGGAATGTCTAGTAAGTTATATGGAAATGTTATACATATCAATACACACTTTATATTATCAATATATTAATAATATATCGTATATATATATATATAGAAATGTTATACTATAAATGTCGGCACACGCTTTCAATTAAATTATTTAATAATAAAATAACTTTCACTTATATTTGGAGCCAAAAATAAGTAGATATTATAATTGATTAATAGAAACACATTTATTAAATATAGTCTTAGTCTATGAATATCTACTTTATAAACATAATATGTTATATTCTATATGTTTATCAATGTTTACCATCAAATGCTATATTTGTGTCTTGTAATCAATTAATATAATATTAAAAATATTAAATTTAGACTAATTTATAAAGTAATTATAAATTAATAATAATTTATTATTTTATAAAATTAATTAAAATAAATTTATTGTATTTGTAAATAAGTTACTAACTTTATTAACAATTACTAACTTATAAAAAATACACAAATCAATAAGTAATTTAAAATCATAGTTTTTGATGTCTATTGTAAATATTTTAATATATTTTGAATTTATTGAACTCAATATAAGTGTATTATAAATAATAGGTGCATTTATTTTGTATTTTATTGTAAACTTTATTGTCATATTAGTTATAATGATATTATCATATATATAATGTAAATTTTCCTGTAATGTTTGTTTAGCAAATTGTTTGTATTGTAAATATTATGTGATACAAAATTTGTTGCTAATTGTATCAAATTATAAGTTATTGTATAGTACTGTACACTGTATAAACTTTATACTATTATAATATAAATTTTCAATTATAAATTATTTTTTCACATAAGTTAGTTATTATAAGTATTAAACAAATTATATATTTATAGTTAATTTTTAAAAATTAAATTTCAAAAAAATTGTATTTTTATTACTGATTTTGCAATCAATACAAGGTAATTGCATAACTGACATTGATATTTTAGTTTTTTTAAAATGTATATTTTCATAATTTGATAACTATACTTGTAAAATATAAATTTTAAAAAATTGTATATAATATCAAATATAAAAAAACTAAATGATAACAAATCATACAAGCAATTTATAAATTACATTTATTATTAAATACAATTAAAACATTGTCCGTAAAATTTTTTTTATAAATATTTTTGTAAATCTAGTCAAAATATAACACATAAAAAAATTATTGACAATTTATTTGCCAATCTATGCACTTTAACAATAATTGATTATAAGATTATGATTTATAAATTATATTGTGTTATTACTATTAAAGTAATTATTATTTTTAACTATAATTTTGAAATATACCCCACTCCCCCCCTTAATAGACTTTATTTTAAAAATCTGAAATTATAGTTTTGATATGCAATTTGAGAAAATCATTTTTTATATGAAAAAACTCAAAAAAAAATTTTGATAATTATTTACAGAAAAAAAACCTAATTAATTAAAAAATCTTTAATCAATGCATGATTTGAGATCGTGTTTCATAATGAAAAAATATATATAAATTAAATTCAATAACAAATTTTCTGTCTGTTAATGAATTGCTTTTGCATTATATATATATATTTTTTGGTGGCATTTAGTAATATTTAATAGTTTACTACTGTATTGCAAACAAATAGCTATTTTCACAATTTTATATCACAATTCAGATTATTATGTTGTTGTCAGTGATTTTATTATATATAAAAATTAGTTTTTTTTAAAACAGTTGTTATGTTATGTTTTTTTCATGAGATTAGAAAAGATATAATTAGGGGAAACGAAACATATGTTTATGTGGGGTAAAGGTTAGGCACATCAGACAATAACATACCGGTTCCAGCAGGAGATACACATAAACACAAACACACGCTGTTTGTTGACAAAAATAAAATAACAATTTCTTATCAAATCATGGGGTGGGTGGCCATCAATAGGGTTATCACACTTAATAAAATAACATACTGTCAATCGTTTAGATAATCTAGGTTATAGACTCTATGATATTATTTATGATAAAAAATATATGATTTTATGGAAATTTTTTTATTTCAAATAAATCTTCTAGTTTGAAATGTTTTATTGTTTTTTATTTTGGTTGATTTTTCAAATATAGTGTTATTTTTGTAATTATTGTTCTTAAAAATATAAACTTAATAATAATATACAACAAAAATTATTAAATAATATAGAATAATATATATATATTTAAATTGTATTTTTTAAAATTTAATACATATATCTAAAAAAGCTAATAAATTTGTTATCAATTGTTTAAAAACGGATACTTGAAAATTGTATCAAAGATTTTAGACATTTTTTTTATAGTTTATATATTTTTCAAATGTTCTCTAAAAGCAGTGCACCCTTTAGTTCAAAGTATATATTTTTATATAATTTTTTTTACTATTAATAAACTTATTTTTCTAGACATCGATGTACTGTCATTGTATCTAAACAAACATAAAATATTTAATATTTGGAAAACTATGATCCGGATATTTATATAATTTTAAAAATATATTTTATGTGAAAAATTAAAAAATGATTTAACAATGTGATACAATTATTAGAAAATATTTATAATTTATTTATCAACAAAATTATTTTTTTTAATTAAATTTGTTGCTAATAACAAAAAATTATGGACATTTTTTCCAAACAATAACCGAGTATTTTTTTCTAATTATTTTGTACATAATTAATAAAAATATTACTATTTAATATTTTTTTTATTAACTATATTGATCTCTAGTACCTTAACAACACATCATTTAATATTTTTTTTCAAAATATAATATAAATAATTTTTTTTGAAACACACAAAATAAATGTGTTTTCTCTGTTTAAACTAAATGACATTTCTCTTAGCGCTATTTTAGTCAATATTTTTGTTATGTAATGAAATATTTTTTTTAAAAAAAATAAAGTCAAATGATTTCAATGATGTTTATGACCAGTAATAATACAACAACCCTTTAACTCAAGAAAAATAAAATCAATTTTTAGATTTAATATTATTCTATGAATATATATATATAGAGTTAAATAAATATTTTTATTTGATAACATACTATATATATATAATATTATATATATTTTCACTATATTAAAAATATTTATATAATTTGTTTTTCAATACCTTTAAAAATACAATAATCTATTTAATATGTTTGTTAGTCTTGATAAACAATATTTGCTAAACGATCCAGACACATTTCTCAGAAAATTTTATGAAAAAAATTTCAATGCTAACATATTTATGTCTATAAAAATATTAATTGCATCCTATTTATTTGAAATAAATTGTTATATAAATTATAAAATATCAATTATTTTAATTTAAAAAATGATTTTTATTTTTTTGAAGAATTTATTAATTTTTACTATAATTTAATACATAATTTCAAAATAGTTATTTGCAACGTAAATGTTTTATAAAGTTATGTCATAGAAATTTTTAAAAAATATTAATTAAAATTAATTTATGTATTTATTGATTTTAAATTTAATTTAAAATTGTTTTATTTTTATGAATCTCACATAAAATCATTGATTTGTAACTATAGTTTAAAAAAATATAAGATACATACAGTATCCATAAATTGATGTACAATGCC